ATCATCATCATCATCATCATCATCATCATCATCATCATCATCATCATATCACCATCATCGTCATCAGTTTCATGTGCATCGAAAATATAGTCATCATATGTGTTTTAATCACAAGCATCATCAACAACATCGCAACACTTGACATTGACATCATCATTGCCAAGCTTTTGTTTTCATATCATCATCGTCGTCATGACCATCAACATCACCATGAACATAATGATCATCATCACCACCATCAGGACCACCACCATCACTATTGGAAATATATGGACACATCATCATTTACTGTGTTTTTTTTTCTTCATCTTCATGTTCAGATTCATCTATCATACTCAGAATCAGAAACATCATGTGCCCGTGGATTGTCGCCGTGCCCGGGTGCCCGCATGCCTGTGGAGCTGAGAGTCGTGAGAGTGCCTGTGGAGCTGAGCGAACTGGTCTCATGAGCGAGTGAAGGCTAAAAGCAAATCCTGTTTTTGGTACCATCCTGACAAGTCGTTTGCCTTGCTTTCAGGCAACATCCAGCACTGACTTCAGAACTGCATCCAGACATGCAGAAAGGTTGATGTCAAAGAGAACCCAAAGATGTGATCAAAGATGTGATCAAAGGGTCAGATCCAGCATTTGCAAACTACATCGATGTTCGTTGTCAAGGTACATGCCGCATGCCAAACAACAAAAAGAACTGCCTAGCTACCTGGCCTTCTTGGGGAAAGATTTGCACTACAAATTCCAACCCTGGACTTTCTTGCTATTGGTGTGTGTGTGTATGTATATATATATATGTACGTTTACTTTGTTTTGCTTTTTTTTGTAACAAAATAATACATATGAGTATATACGTCTATAGAAGCAAGGAACCCCCGAAAAAAAATACATGTTGATAGAGTTTGGATCTTCCTAATGAATCATTCCAGGAGTTCAGCTTGGCCCTGGGTGCCACCAGCAGCACTGGACGCTTGTGCATGAGCAATCATGTGGATCCGATCCACCAGGAGAGGTGCAGTTGGTTGGGCTCGGAGCGGATGACACTTCCATAGTGCGCAACCTTGGAGAGTACTAGTTCGTTGCACTGACCAAATGATGTACCATCTCATAGAACAGTGGAAACCCTTTCTATAGAATCATTTGATGTACCATCTCAAAGAATCATCTCATAGAAAGGGTTTCCACTTTCATGGTAGTTCCAGGGAGTGTAGGAAGGAAAGAAGTCGACCAAGAACAGCTCCGTCAAGATATGTCAAGAGACTTTGTTGTGATGTTTTGTGCAGTCGTGATGTGTGAGATGTGCTGCATGAACACATCCCAGGTTAGCTCTCCCCATCTCTCCCCCTCAATTTGGACACGCCAGGAATGTGCCACGTTACCTGACGTGGTCACTGTGAATGGCAAGCCTACTGTGAGTGGTCCCGTGGCGGTCGTTGCTGGTTACGGGACCGAACAAACAGGACCGAAATGCCAAAGAGTTCGAAGGCATTGAGAACACTCGATGGTGGCTGTTTGGTTTTGGTGTTTCTCAGGTCGGGATTGTCTCACAGACTCTGAGTGCCTCCGCCCAGCTGCTTGGAAGAGGCTGAAAGCATTTGTAATGTTGTCAATTTGGGCTCCACCAATGTCCACGTTACCTTGTTCCGCTGGGATTCTTCTTCTAAAGCATGCTTGGATAACCGACTTTCCCTGGTTTCCCTTGCAGGTGTCGACTGACAAAGGAAACCATTTTCGTCATGGGGAGTTGAGCGCTCCCGACGTGACGGGCCATGCATCCCATGTTTTGTCTCATAATGTTTTAATTCTAATTCTGATTCTTGTTCCTAATAGCTTTATTTTTACTAGTAGTATGGCCAGGAGCCCCGTTCGTAGCGTCCTTGTTCCTAGTAGGGGTCCATATAAACATGTATATATATATATACACAGCACCAAACGTGATAATTGTGCCATCTACTCTCAATCCACTGGTAATCTCCTTAAGGTGCGTGGTTTCGATCATTTTCGACCCCTTGAGAATGTCGTTCAACATCATCAAGCTGGTGAGCTGGTGCCCGGATGGATCTAAGGACAACTCTTTGGGCCGGTGTCTTTGCAAACAGTGGTGGGAAGGCTGGACATCATTTGAAATCGAAAGTGATCAAGTGTAACTCAGTGTAGCTTACTGGGACTGGACCCGGTGATATATTGGCTTGTGGTGCTTTTTGGTTGCACGTTTCAGAAGCGCTGTTTGGATTTTTATCCTTCACTGTTTGTTCTTTGGAGGGAGTATCCATGACGTGATGTCCCACGGAAGGGTCGTGATGTCGCGAGTCAGGAAACTGCACTTGCTGTACATACTTCTATACACACTCAGCTGCATGTGTGTTCTCGTGTTTTCAGGGCTCCAACCAACCAGATAACCCGACTCCGTCGCCTTCGGGGCACCGACGATGGTACGCCCGAAGACGGGAGGCGCTGGTACGGCTGGGTACTGTGAGCTCTCTGAGCTGCAGGTTTGGAAGCCCGCCTTCAAGTGCCTGGACGAGCATTCTTGGGTCATCAAGGGAAGCGAAGACGGATGGAACAGGAACCAGGTGAGCAGGTTTGACCCCACTCTGTGCTTTTCAAACGCTGGGGGGGCTCAAACTCCGACCAGAGACGTGAGCACAGGAGAATCGAATTCCAGACCGGTCAAAACCTTGCAAGGCCTGAAACCAAGCTCAGGATTTTAAGCGCCGTAGCGGTTGGCGCCCTAAACCCTAAAACCTCGGACTTGACGCGGCAGACAGCTAGCTTTTGGGCTTCAATAAGGTAGTACTGCGCGGCAAGGTCTGACTTTGACAGCGGTAACGGTAACAACATGTAAAAACATTGGTTATAGAGGGGAACAAAAATACCGCCAGCTTTCCGCATGGGTTTGAGGGCATCGACCCCCGCGCGACTTCGCTCACCACCGCCTGCAATGTAGGTCAATCGTTTTGACATATATATGCAACAATGGATGTGGCCTGTTCCGTGTGGCCTGTTCCGTATTCCCCCTCCTTCCCTCTCCCTCCCTCACTGCAGGCGCTTCTGGGAGGCCGCCATCGTGGCCTGCCACCACGACTGGTCCGAGGAGCGCTGCGCGGCGGAGATCGGCCTTGAAGAGGCCGAGCTGCCGAGCTGCGCTGCGCGACCGGGTTCTCCGCGGTCAGCCCGCGGTACACCGGTGGTCAGTCCGCATGCGATGCCAAGAAATGCCAAGAACACGTTCTTGGTTCAAAGATCAAACTCACGTGATTTCAATTGCTTGGGGTGGCATTATGTTGTTGAAATCCTTTGTTGGACATGTCGGAATGGTCAGTTTGTTGTTGCTTCACTGTTGGTGACACTGGTATTCTCAAGATCTTCGAGGTTTGATGGTGCTTGGTTTCTACCGAACATATGCCTACAGCGATCGATGCCCATGGAGTGTGCAGTGTGAGGAAGTTCTTACTTTGAACGACCTTACTGGGCTTGGCACGCTATCCAGTTGCACCTCATTGAAAGGCCCCACTGACTTAAACAGAATAGTGCATTGATTCAACCATATTCAACATATACTGTATAATGTTCGGCGTAGACAGAAAAGAATGTGGGCAACCAACGCTCCAACGACCCAGAACCTCATGTCAAGAAACATGCAGACATCCTGGTTCGGAAGGCCTATGGCGAGGACAGATCACTTCATTTTCGTGACGAGACCCGATCAGACTGTCACTGCAGGTGCTGGCGACCGTGCGGAGGGACTCAGCAGCCTTGTCGTCGGATCCGACGGAGGCGCCTTGTCGTACTTCCGGCGCCTCACCGTTGAGTGATGGGAGTGATACTGTGCAGATCCGTGTAGCATGCTAGACTGATACTTTTCACGATCACCCCATGAGTCACCCCATGTCAATCTACGGAAACCAATACATTGAACGTCCTTTCTTTGCTTCCCCAGCCAGGCAGACCGACCTGGACCCTCAAAACCTGTGGATCAATAAAAACCACTGTCAGGGTCCACGTCAGTCTTTGAGAGGATGCATCATATTTGAGCCACCACCCCTTCTGTTTGTTTGGCCCCTTTACACTGCTTCAACCATGTTCCAGCCTAGTTGCAGAAGATGTTGCTCTTCGATTTTCCTGTAGATCCCCACTACCCTAGGGCTCCAAGTTAGAAGGTGTTTGAGAGTTTGCAGGGTCCAAATACCTTGTGAGGAGCTAATTTCTTGGAGCCGCTAGTATCTCTTTGTCACCACTACCGTCGATCACCTCACCGATGTGACATCGGCTGTGCAGATCAAGAGCTGTGCGACCGAGCTGCTGGAGACCTGGGATTTTAACGGGCTCCACCGAGGCCCGAACAACGTGGCGGACAGTCGGGCAGGGTCCAGGGCGGGGGAGTGGAGGGGTTGGATGGTGTTTGGATGGCTGGTCGATCCTTTGGGTTTGCATGCATGGCTTTGAAGGGAAATTCTTTCGACATGGAAGATGATGGAACGCACGATGTTCCTTTTCACATGGGTAGTCCAGTTTCTATATCGTTTCATGTTGTTTCTATATAGGCTGGTTTTTGGAAGGCTGGTGAAATTATGGTCTTGACTCATGTTCCGCCCAAATCAATACAAGATCCAGGTCAAAGTTCATGATTTGGGACAAGGTGCAAATGTAGGATCCCAGACATCCAGACAGCTTGAGGGCCAAATGCAGTGAGGATAAACCGACTCCAAGAAAGACTAAAGACACATGCATTGAAGCATGTTGAAGCCAAACATTGCATCCTTGGACTTTTCTCCCAACAGCACCCTGCCTTTGTGCCTTGGCGCTCCTTGAACGGCCACACTCCAGGTGCACATGCTTTGCTGTGCTTCTTGGCGAAACCCCAAATGGGCCTTGTAAGCCGCAATTGTTGCTCTTAAAGAACATGACTCATATGTAATGTATATATATATACTTATATATAGCCGTTTCAACAACTTGCTACCTCATCCTCCAGGACTCCAGGTGTCATATAGGTCGATCTTCCCGAGGTCTTCCTTTGCTGGTGCAGCTCTTGTGAGGTGGGACACCGGAGAACGCGCTCAGATCCGGGTCCCTTCCATGGATTTGACGGTCCCCCAAAACAAAGGGGAAAGCTTGAAAACCTACGACATTCCACCAATTCACACTACTTCCAAGAAGCAGCTAGCAATACCCACAAACCATGTTGTTTAGATTGGGGCCCATCCCAACCACTGTTGAATGGGCGGATGCTGACATCATCATTATGAATGCCAGCAAAGAAGTTCCATGCACCGTGTAAAATGGAAGGACATATTGAGAACCCCTTCCAGCAGAGCTAGCAAGGCAGAACAATGCAGTCTCACCAAGGCAGACTTTGTGCTGGGTTTACCAGCTAGGAGGGGACTTGGTGACTTTGTTCCTTAACTACCCTTTGCTGCGGCTTGTGGCACTGTGGCCACTCAGTCCAGAAAGCCGGTGACTGTGTACATAGTCAGCGCTTCAGGCCCAGTCCGCATAACACGTGCCGGACAGGGAGGGTGCAGAGGAAAGTTACAAAGAGGGGGAATCGGGTGACAATGAGTAGAGGCGGAGTGATAGGCCTTGGATCGGCCAACCCTTGCTTTATCCGAGAAGGTTGGCCCATTTGGTTAGAGTTTGGGCGCCAGTTCTAGTCATCACTGCAGAGCTGATCAGAACTCCAAGCTCTACCCTCAAAATCTCAAAAGACTGAGCCACTAGCAGACTCCCAGCACCCAAAAACACCGAAACAGCCCTTCTTCTGCCCCTTCTTGAGCCAAAAGCCTGGCTCCTTGGCCCGGTTTGCACTCCTCCAACGCCCTCCGCCCAGGCGTGGAGCAGCTTTCGGCCAAGCCTTCGGGCTGCCTGCCGCGCCTGGGTCCCAGCCGCCACGGCTCGCGCAGCGGGTCATGCGGCTCAGGCGCGGTCGATGTATGTCGATGTTGACCAGGAGCGGCCAGGAGGTTCTGTTGAACGTAGGACGCCCATGGACGCCCAGAACTGATTTGGCTCAGAGTTCGCATGCCGTTTGTATTTCATTCATGTTTCATAAAAGCGAGGAAAAAAGCTATCAACGGATTTCGATTGAATATGTTGCGTGCGCGTGCTATTCTAGCGATCATGGGAACACAAGTCAAGTGGTTGGTTTTTGGTCCATCACGAGAATAACTTCATTCACCAAACCCTTTCATCACTGGTGTTTGCATGTGTTTGCGACCAGAGCTTGCAAGCTTTGGACGAAAACGAAGACGCATACGAAACATTTCGATACACACAAAGCAAACCTTGAGGACATGACCCAAACAAAAACATAATAGATAATTAATTGCTTGAATTTTACGAATATCCTAAGTGTAACCATGTTTATATGTACCTATAAGACAGTACTGCAGGTACCATCGACATGTCCGAGATAGAAACTCTCCAAAGCACTGGTCTACCGACGAAATCCATGCGCGTGGCCCGCAGGCTTGGGGTTGAAGGCTCGATCTTAGGCTCGGTCTTGGGGCGCTCGGGAACTCTTGTGTGGGTTGTGGGTTACCACCCAGTTCAGGTGGTGATTGGGCCATTGGGCATTGTCAAGGGGGGTCCATAAACCACCCGAATGGGGTGGTGCTGGTTAGAGGTGTTTGGTTGTTGTTGGATGAGGACGGCTCACTCTTGTTGGGACGTTGTAATTCTTAGCTGTGGCAAACAGTAGACGATGGTGATGATGTCTAACGTCGATGTGAAGGGCTCTGGAGTTGTAAGTTATAGGGAACCAACTGAGCAATTCTCGAGGCAAGTCACCAAATGTTCAGTTCAGGTTCAGCTTTTTCAGCGTCATATAGAGTCATCATCCTGTACATTTGTGAAAGTTCATTTCAGAGAGCAGTTGCCAAAAAGAACACCCCTTGATCCGCATTCGCCAGAAGGATCATTGTTGACCATAAGCACTAGTCATTAGAGGTAGAGATCTTCATTCACAACCCCTTGCTTGGCTGTCTAGTCAGAGACTAACCCAATGAGCATGGCCCGAGACGCAGACACCGCGAGGAGACACGGCAATGGCCTGAAATTCATGCAGAAAAGGGGGCACTTCTGAAAACATGGCAAGACGCATGAGAAGTAGCTGTGGGTCAATATTTGGAGCATTGGAGCCTTGAACTCTCTTAGCTTGACCTCCCTGGCAGGCTATTCTGGTCATGGTTTGTGGTCCACCGGTCGGGTCCACCCTTTTTGACCTACAGGTCCTTGTGTGTAGCTGATTTCAGGTCCTTATGGTCCAAGTTGTTCGCAATTGTTTGGCATGTGTTTGGAAGGACCCAGCAACAAATGGCATCATTCCAAGCGTGATGATGCCCCAAATTCAGGTGTAAAGAATTGCAAGCAGCCCTTTCAGACACATGCCCATCAGGCAGCAAAATGGTTTTTCGCAGCGCGGAACGAGCTTGACGTTCTTTTGTACACACAGCGCTCGATCATCCTTTTAGTCTACCGTGTTGCCACGAAGAAGCACAATGAATGCACCGAAAACGCCGTGTGGGCACGCTCCACGCTCCTCTCAGCGGGGACGACGCACTGCTGTTTTCTTTCAAGGTTTTTCCGCAAGAAGACCATGGCTAGCCCAAATGGTGGAAGCTCTTCAAGCTGAGGGAGAACGCACAAGTTGCAAACAAGAACGTTTAGCAAAGATGTTTGTATGGCAATTGCATAAGTTTTTCGCTAGCGATTTCACGGCGATGCACACATCGAGTGCAGCATTGTAGCACCAGCAGGCAGTGTCACCTGGCATGTAATAGATATAAATAGAGCTGAGCGCAGGGTTTCTTTTTTCCCCGGCTAGCTGCTAGCTAACAGGAGCCACAGAGGCTTGCGTTTTCAGTTGGTTTAAGGAACCTACTCGCCAACCAAGTCAGAGGGTGACTCCTAGAACCTACTCACTCAGAACTCTTCAATTCATCTAATTGCCATGTTTGACTTCGATGGCAAGGCAGGAGAGTTCGTTTCACGAAGGCACCGAGGCTTTAAAATAATAGCTTCCCCAAACGCATGGCCAGATCAACCAGCATTCGGATGGATGACATTGGCCAAACTTGTTATTTGTGATATTTGAGGATATTTGATATTTGCAACAATCTCATAGGTGGGGACACGGCAATATGATCCTGAAGACAGGTGAAATCAAACCACTGACCTTTCTGCTCGATTCCAGTCTCAACCACCACGATCAAGGTCTTCGTCATGGGCAGGCGGCCAGGACGTCAGACCTCACAACCCCCCAAAGAAGAGCATTCTCATGCAGGCAACTCATGCGATAGTTGGTTTGGTTGACCGTGGGTCCATTTTGGTTGGCGAAGGATTCAAGTCCAATCAATTCTGGGGGGAACTTGTGGAATCGAAAGGACACAGGTATAACCACCTACTTGGCAAAGTAAACACACCTATATATATAATTTTAATGTATATATATATAGTTATATATTTATATTATATTACTCTATATGTATATTTAATTTTTCATGTATATATGTTTATTTATTTGTTTATATATATATATATACATAAGTTTGTTTTTCATTGAGAGTGGGCAGATGAGCTTCCACCTAGCAATATGTGTGATGGTGTCCCCCCCAAAAGTGACCCCAGCAGATGTGTGGTCCAACCTTGCTTTCTCAAGAAGTTTGGGATGTCCCACTTGTGAAAGGTGGGTGTCACTCGGTCACTTCTGGATTTCTACGCATGAAGGCAGAGGTTGGTGCTTTCTATTACATCCAATGATTCATTCAAACCTCACCTGGTAGTCATTTTAAACCCATCCCAAAGGGGGCCTAAGTAGTCATCCTTGGCTAAGCAGGGACACTTTGCTCTATAGAATGTACTTGGTCACTTGGTGTTTGAAGAAACAGCTGGGCCCCCGTCAGGTCCGGGTCCCCACCGCACCGGTCCAGGTGCGTGGCAGCGGATCCCGCGTGGATCTCAGTGGGCGAGGCGAGGCGATGCCGACGGATGCGCGACGGGGCTGAGCGACGGATGCGCGGAGCGATGAACTGACAAGGACAAGAGATCCTAAAGGAAAACCAGTCACTCGTCGAGCATCAGTCAGTTCGTGGTTGGGCGGAATTCAGGGTCGAGATGAGCTCGGAGTGTGACATATGTGTGTTTGTTTTCGTCTGGACGACCACCTGGTTTCTTTTTTCCCGGTTTGGACCGGACCTGTTCCGCATCCCTGTTCCGCCCCGTTTGTCTCCGGCACTGTTCCGCAGGGCGCAAAGGGCCCCGGCAAGCGCCGGAGGAGAGTCGTTCCGATTTCGTGAAGCGCCGCTCGGCACGGGCGGAGCGGAGAGCGGGGAGCGGCGCGCCATGGGGCAAGATTGCAGTCAGGACTTTCGATCACTCCGACAGTATACAGAGGCACTTTTGAGTATGAGTTGCTAAATGTTGTTATGAGATGAGTGGATTCATTCACTTCAAGCGTATAAGCATGCAGCATGAGGACAAGTTTTGTTGGCTTCCATGCTAGCCTCGGTTTCGATCTTGTGAATCTTCTCCACTCTTACAGGTCAGTCGAAGTTTGTGCAGATGCAGGGAAGATCTCACCATTACTCGTGCCAAGTTGATTGTTTACATCCGAGGGCCCCATGAAATATGGTGACTTTTGTTCCTCTCATGAAGAGTTAGCAGGCTTTTACATGATCCGATGCCAAGAAACAAGTGATGCCTTCCGCTTTCCTTCATCAACCCGCTTTCTTCGGGACTCGTTGGGCCAACACCATTTTTTGAGGCCAACACCAAGAGCGCGAGGCCCGCGAGCGGAAGAGGCGGACGAAGCTCCGCAGCGGGTTGCGCGCCCGCGGACGTGGAGATGAGTTCAGGATGTGCTTGGACAACTGCCATATATGCGTATATATATATTATATGTAATACTATTTACTATTATATATATATATATTGTATTTAACACTATATGGGACTTATAAGATTTCGTAGATACATTTATTAGTTGTATCATAATAAATCATATGCACTTCCCGAATCCTATCCATTTTTGACCCTTTTTCAAACCTGCTGGGAGACCTGGCCCCCGGTCCAGGACCACCTTGGTGTAAATAGATGGCAGAGGCCCAGCCTCAAATAGAATGTCGCTCTGATTAATTCAGGGACGTGCGCACGCTGTATGAGACTTGTGACTGCACGCAGGCTGTGTGCTTGTGTCTTTTGATCTTGTTGGAACATGCCATCAAAGCCCCAAAATGGTCAACATGATCAAGGTTTCCGAAACACACATGCACGACAAATCTATATAGATTGTGGATTTATGGGATACCAAGGGTCAAACGCCCTCAAGCCTTAGCTTAGAATTTGTCAAATTGAAATGATCACTTGGCCAACAAGATGACCAGAATCAGAATGCCCCAGGATCCGTGAAGCCGCCTCGCGACACATTCAGGCCGGCAGCCGGGGGTGGGGCCAGTGGACTAGTGCTGAACGTGGACCCAATTCCCATGTATTGCTTTGAAGTGGCCTTGATCTCTAGACTCTAGACTGAGAGTCCTGTCCTATTGGTTGAAATCAGGATAGTTCCTGTCATGAATTTGGGGTGGAGGACTGCCACATTTCCTCCAACCACGCTCTGTCAAAGCGACCTCAGACACTGCGCCAAAGACTCAAACAAACAACCAAACGTATAAAATAGGGTATTCAAAGGCTTGCTACTGGATATTACTGGATAGCACCTTAGTAGTTGTGACACATGTGATGTTCTCTTACCAAAGTGAGTATATATGACATTATGCTATGATTTAATTCATATATGTGCAACAGTTTGTAGAACTTGCATTCCCAAGCTGTTGCTAACACCGAAACCATGACGTGCTCCGTGCTCCCCGTCCAGGCCGTCTACCGGGGCCATCGATGCCGCCGAGCCCAACAGGCCGAGAAGCGGCAGGCGACCGGGCAATGACACGTTGGACCGCCCAAAGCGCGTGGGAAACATGGTTTGTGAGGTGCCAAACAAAGCAAACCATATTGCACCATCAATCACCATGGATTCATGGTTTGTTAATATTGTACCATTTGGTCTCCCCGGAGGTTGGCCCTTCTAAGTGTGTTCCTTTTGGCACGTTCTTTTTTCTGGAGAGCAGTTATCTTGGCGAAATCCTCATGGCGACCGGGCCGACGGGGCCTTTTGAAGAGCAACAGGCACCTGCATTTGATCCACTGACCAATTTAGGGATTTTTGTGAGCTTCCTGGGTGAATGCTGAAATAGGCCAACTTGTGGCTACTTGAATCCTGACCGGCAGGTGCTCGTCAAACTGGCAAACCGTTCTTCGACAAAGACTCTTTGACCCCAAAACACGTATATCGTTATGTTGTGCATTGATTTGGCTTGCTAGCTCCGCCTGCACGGGCTGCATCCCTTTGCCGCAGGTCTTCGACAAGCGCTATGCGGACATCAGCAAGGCTTCTGGAACTGCTGGGAGGTCTGGATGCAAATTGTAGATGATCCTTAGTAAGGTCAAAACAAGGCTTATTTCATTTCATCTTCCAGGGGGGGGGGTTTGGGGGGGAGGGCGTGGGTTTTTGTGATTGTAGGGTGCTGGTGGGTCCACTCGGACCATCCGATGCAGACCTTTCCCGGATGGATCGAAATCGAAGCCAGCTTCGCCAGTGGCATGTTGTTTCACTCACCCACACAGCTGCTTTGCCTTGGCCCTTGACTCACGGCATTTGCCAGTTTGAAGCGGTTGGGTAGAAAGAGGAGGTGTACATTGCACACACTGCCGATCTATGTGTCACATTGCGTCACCTTTTTTCGGAGGCCACTGCGCACGGGGGTTGGGCGATATTTGTTGAGCCGCAGTCGTTTCACACTACCAGTAGCCGATGGAAAGAAGATCTGCCGGACCCATTTGGAGATTTTGGAGTCCTTTGGATGGACCACGGACCACTTTTTGATACTTTTAGGCTGAACTGTTGAGACGGAAGGTCCGTCGCACCGGTGGGAACTTGAGCGACAGGTGAGTGGCGTACTTCCTGCGCCGCAGAAAGCCAAGTTTGTCTTCCAGTTGCGACTCGGACTGCACGCCCATACCGTCCTGGCGGTTTCACCGTCCTCGTATACCGTCCTCTTTCATCATTGAGTCTAGGGGGTTGGTTTCACTACGATGTCACTATAGCGTCGCTACAATATGACACACAAAAAGTAGGGCCTGGTAGGGTGGTTGGTACGATATTTGCTTCCTTTTTTGGTACACATGAGTCACATGACGGATTATGCCAGGTCACTTGTTTGGGCCTCACGGCCCCACGCCATTCAAGTCCACCGCAGGATGAAGTATGTTGCAAGATCTTGCAAGGACAAGTGTACTTTGTGGGACGTCGAAACCACAACTCCAATGGAAGTCATTCCATCCAGGCAACTCAGTCGACCCTGCTCCACGTTTAGTCGTGCATTCCGGGTTGCATTAGCCGGATCAACAGCAGCATCAGGCTGGTGCCTATGCTACGGCTCTTCGCTTTCTTCTTCAGGCGCATTCTTTCCAGAAAGCGTGTTGTATATACTTGTGTGGAGTGGGACCAACGGTTGGTCAGTGGTCCTTGAGTGTTTCGGCGCTGAAGCACTGTGCACAAGAGGCATTCCGCCGAGATGGCTGACTGGTCGTTTGGTCATGAAGCATATGAAGCACTGTGCCGAGATGTGTACCAGAAAGCCTCCAAATCGTACATGCCGGGTGAACCGGCGGAAGGACAACTTATAGTGAGCAAGGCTTCGTGCTTCATGAAGATTGCAAGGCGCACTGAAGTACTTTCCTTGGAACTAACATCTAAGTGGAAAACCCCCCATTTGTAGAGGAAAATGGTCTTCGAAGTGGCCATATTCCACTTCCATGTTGGTTCCAAGGAGTGTTTAATCATGTTTGCAGTTTTGCCCCCGGTGCTCCTGAGAAATGCTATGCCTATACATCGTCCAGGTGTTTGAACATTGATGCCTCCAGTACATGTTGCTCTGTACAGCTCAGGCTACCTATCAACATGCTTACAACAACCAGCAAATTGAAAAATAGTAACTATAGTGAATACTAGGCCCAGGCACTCACCATTTTTCCCGCCACACATCACAGCCAGCTGCAAAGGGATTCGTCCTTTTCCCAGGAAGGACCAGGACGAAGAGCGCTTGTTGGCGATGGCCGAGCTGGTCCACTTCTCCAGCACGCAAGCGGAGAGTTGTATGGAAGCCCATGAAACGAGGAGAGGAAAACCACGAAACGAGCTGTCTACAATCGAACAAAACGACCATGCAGTGAACATCCATGGTGTTTGACAAGCAGAGGTGCCAGAGGGATTCCCTTCACATCCCCTCACTCTAATTTCATGAGGCTGTTCCTTCTTTTCTACATGTTCTACTCACATTGTTCCTTGTTGAAGGACCAGGCCCTAACCAAAGGAAGTTAAAAGATAGCCATCCATCGGCTGCGGAAGATGTCGCTGTCGTTTCAGAGAACTCACTGGCACATGACTGACATGCCTTTTTCCAGTCAATCCAGATTCCTTCAGAAGTTTTATACAAGATTTCTCAACATTTTGGCGGAGTGACTGAACTGATTGAGGCAACTTCTTGCGGATTTTCCTCATGGATGAGTCGCAGTTGCCAAAAGACTCATCACGGCAGGGCGCACTCTCTCTTTTGGAGCAACTTAGCTCGCACCAAACAGATTGGCAAATTTCGGGGCAGGATAGAAACTGTAGGTGCAGAGTCCTCAGCTGGGATTGACATGGCTGCAAGACGTTTAGACACAATAACACATAACACATCATAACACGAGCATAATGACTATACTGACTGTGCTCAGGTGTATTTATCCTCACCCAGTTCCTAACATTGCAAACTCCTCGTATATATATATATATATACATAAAGATTATACAAGCAAATCATTTTCCATACCCACTCCTTCTTGCTATCGCTGTCTCAGCGAATTTCACACTTTCCAAGAAGGTCCAGTGGAACACCACTGGCCCCTACCAGTTGATTCGCCATCCGAAGGAACCAGAAATTCCTTTGGGAGAGTTCTTTTGTCTTTTGCTGTCAGCTTTGGACACCGACCCTGCTTCGCTTTGAATCAGCTCAGCTTAGAGCTGTCGGGCCCTGCGTTGCCGAGGAAGCTCTTTTGGGCACTGCTCAGCTGCCAGAGAAACGTCGATGTGTTGAAGCTGCTGAAAGCTGTGCAGCAGGTCGTTCCTGGAAGAGGGGTGACACTTTGATGTCACTGGTTGACCAGAAGGTCGTTGGCACGAAGAAGCGTCCAGATGGATTGCGGATCCAGATGTTACTGTAACCCATTGGGGTGTACTTGCGTACTTGTGCGAAAACCTTTGGAAGCTCCGGGAAGACCGAGGTTCATGACTCAGGACGATTGAGCTTTCAAGGGCCTAGGATGCAAAAGAAAGAACTAAAGAGATCTAAAGACTTATACTTAACTTATATAGGACAAAAATTGTTGAACATATTTTTGTCAACATCGGAGCTCTCCAAAAAAGTAGATATGTTGGTTGCAGCAAGTTGTCCAGCACCGCAGTTTGAGCCACCAGTGACAGCAGCTGCGCTAGCCACCTGAGTGGCTCGGTATGGCTCAGCGTGTTTTGTTCTGGGTCACGTCAGGCACTGTTCTCTCCAAGCCCTGACTACAAGCCGTTCAGTGCTCAGTCTGGGAGAATTCATGTTGCTGGTCATGATAAGCATGGCTTTGTTGTGGGCTCTTGACATCAGAATTATGTAAACCTTTGATGTGTGTTTGTAGCAAATTCATAGAAATTCATATACTGGTTTTTCTAGTTGTTGGCGGCTAAAGAAGACTGTGGGCTGAAAGTGTGAGGTTTTGGGCATTTAATGGTTGAGACTCCTTGTCAGCACTTCTGGATAATGGTTTAAACATTTTAGTTTAAAACAAAAGACACGTGTTTACTTATTGGCAGTCATTCCCAGCACAGTCGCCAGTCTGTCGCTGGCTGGTGAGGGGGAAACCCCGTCGCATGCGACTCCCGTCCGCGGATGGAGGCTCGGGTCCATCTCCGGGGCGGTGGTCGTAGGAAGCCCAGACGACGAGGTGCAGGTGATCCAGATTTTCAGAGACAGGGAAGATGGGTTGGTCCAAAGCAGGGAAGATGGACCAGTGACCCAGGGACTTGAGTTCGGCCAAGTGGCTTCTGATCCTGTATCATCAAATGGTCCAGGAAACATTAAGACTCAAGACATTATGTTTATGTTTAGATTAAATATGTGCTCAAGCCTGGTGCCAGTGAGAAATTCAGAAAAGGAACCTACAAGGATGAACTGGTTGATGCAGCAAAAGTATGCAAAAGAAGGTATACAGTATGCAGAAAAGCTTTTCGGCGAAATACTGCGAATGCGACCCGGGACTGGCAATGGACACGGCTTCCAAGGGCTGTGAAATCGCATCCATCTCCTGTGCCTTGTCGATCTCCTGTCACCTGACATCCAGGTCTTCGGGTTGTCCCAAGCTGATTCACTGATGTGTGTCGAATGCCATCACCCACTCCCCCGGCACCAATGCTAATCCAAGAACAAGCCCATTCAACGAAGTTAGAACAAAGATGTGACTACCATGTTACAAAGATGAACCTTGGGCTCACCTGTTGATTGACGTGTTCCGCTCAACAAGACATGTGTTTTTTCTTTTTGCCGAGGCTCATTTGCTGCGGAGGACGCCGATTTTCCAGGCCCTACGAGTTTGAATGAGTGAAAAGGAACTCCTCCCCTAGCTGTCAGATGAGGGCGAGGTCGACGAGGGGCTGGGGATTGATATGTATAGTTGATGTATACTTGTTACAGTTATATGTTTGATTATTTTTGTATGTGTATATATATATATAGTTCTGTGATCTTCTGTTTTTCCAAGGCTGCAAACGTGGCATTTGCGCCGACTGACGAAAATGACAGACGGAGAGACGAGCGGCGAGCGGAGCGGACTTTGTTTCAGATTGAGGAACTGTGCCCAGGAATTGCTCTTTTGGCCCCAATGGTTTTACCAAATAATGCTGTATATACCTAGATCTTCCAACTATGCCAAATTCTGCCTTTTCATCCATAAAACCAGCTGAAAAGGCGGAGTGTTTGCATAGTTGGAAGATCCAGGTGTAACATTAAATGATAAATGAAATAAGACATTTTTTAAAATGTCTCAAAATGCAATTGTTTGAGACCAAACTCGTGGTTCAGAGATCCAGGAGGCAGTTGCTGAATAGAGATTCAAAGATTCCGCTTGCAGTTGGAAGGTGTGATTGTCCTGCAAAACTATGGCCGGCCAAATGGAAGCACTGATTCAAGCGAACCCATTTTTATGGCACTGTGTTCTCCTTCCAACGTCGGTCCCGTTTGGCCAGCGTGTTTGTCCGATCGCTGTTTCATTGGAACGAATGATGGCGCTGTGCCAGGTGCTCCCGCCGCTGTGCCAGTCTGGCCAACTTCTCCAGGCGAGCGGCGAACGCCTGCGAACGCTGTGATTCCATGGATCTATCGGTGATGAACACTTTAGTAGGCAAGCAGATTGGGAATCAACCCGAAAGAGAAAACATCTTTGGAAGAAGGGTCGGGTATTGTAACACCGTCAAGTTCATTGTCTTGGCCTGGCGCCTTTGGAGAACACCTGGAGTTCTTCCGCGCGAAGACACAGCGATTGGGCACGAAGACGGAGCAACCTCAAATCCGTGGCGCTGCGCGTGGATCGAACGAGCACATCGACAGGCTTCGAGACAGGCGTGCCGTCACGGGTGCAACCGGTTTTTCGATGTGAGGTGTCCGCGTTTTGGAAGGTTCCGACACTTCCGAACACATGCCTTATAGGTTTAAGTTCGACTGGTGAGCGTTTATAGCTGCTAGCGTTTATGAGTGGTCGTTTTTTCAGGCTAATATCGTACGGCACTCTCGCTCGGACCTGTCGCTGGTTTTGAGGCTGCGGATGTGGTGCTTTTGATGCCGCTCGGCAGTGGGATGGCAGGTCTGGAACTGGAGAGAATGGCAGGTCTGGAGGTTTGGGCAGAAGATCGTGCTGAGCAGTTGCTAATTAGCTATATATAGAAGAGTGAAAGGTATTTTTGGAAAGTCCCAACGCGGCTGGGAGAAGAGCATGTGTCAGAAGTTCTTCAAGTGCTCAAGGTTTGCAAGCCTGGAAACTCAAAATGCTTCTATATAAGCGGGCTCCTTGTTCAATGGCAGATTGGTAGCAAGGGCAGTTGGTTCTCACTCTCGCATACTCTCGCTACAGGGTGACTGCGCAGAAGAAGAGTGAAGACATGTGAAGACCGTTTTGCCGAGTCAAAGAGAAGACATGATCGGCAGTTTCCAAGGAAAGCTCGCTCGTGTTGAACGGAAAGAGAAGACGTGGGAATATGGATCGCTCGCTTCACCGATCCGATTGTGCTGCCACCGGTTGGAGAGAGTGAGAAATCCAAGCCCCACCGTGTGAAATTCAGCCTTCCAATTTTCATTGCCACCACCTATCTGATCCTACCTCAGGTGCTCAGGCTTGGAAGCCGTCAGCTTGGAGACGGTGGAAGCCTCCCTCCGCACGCGTCAGGAGTGAGAGATGACGCAACAAGAGGTGTCAGAGCGGGTGGGAAGTTTGGGAGCCGTTGAAGGGTTTTGACAATTATATATGTTTTCCGAACTGAGGGCTGAGCATGCCCCTGGAAGTGTAGAAAAATTGGTCAGAGGTTTGTACCTAGCAAGCTGTTTAAGTGGCACTATCATCGTACATGAGCCGGTAATTTGTCCACAGGCGATGCACACCGAATGGCAGGAAATACAAAATGCACATTACTCTAGCAGCATGGGTCGAAAAATGCTTGGATTCCAGTTATTCAATCCAATAGAATAAGGAGAGTAATAAGGAGCCATTTTGTTGTGGCTCACGCCATGTCCAACTCCTGGCAGACTGCCCAGGAGTTGTTGACCGAGCTCCTTTCCACTCCGAACTTGGTGGAGGCTTTGTGCAAGGCAGGGCTTTGAGTCGCTTACGGACGAGCCTCCCAAGGAGTAGAGCTCAGAAGATTGGGCAGGTTTCTGAACTGTTTGAAGCCAAGAATGATTGTTTTGGGGGGATTCTGATGGATTCCGCAGATTTTGAAGCTTCAGTGCACCAGGCTGTTCCAAATCTCAAGAAATATACACTTTTGCGGGATATTTCTTTCCGCTTGAATGCCTTCGCAGGTTCTCTCCAAACAAGAAGTTATTGTCGTTGTTATCGTTATAGCTTGTAGTAGTTCTTCCCACTTCCCGCTAAGTGTTGTTCCTTCAGCAACCAAGAACAAGAGGGAACATGAACCGACTAGTGGAACCACATCCGAAGGGCGCTTCGCTCATTACATGTATACTGTACACTATACAGATCTCAAGAAGCTCATAATGGACCTCACAGAACAGAAGTATACTACATCGTGTGCAAGCAGAATGAGCTGCCCAGATCACAGCCTCCCACTGCTGCAAATGGAGGGTCCAACATCTCCACAGCACGAGAAGATCGTCGCAGGACCTCAGCCATCCGATCGCGGTTGCGAGCCTACGTCGTCTGGATGGCCTGGGGGACATACACCGTGCAGAGGTCCTGGGTGAGGTTTTGGAGGGCTCGTGTTTTTGACAATTTGACCAGCTGATGTTTGAAACATTTGGTCGCCAAAGTGACCGTTTGAGTCTTTGAAGGTCATGTATGTCTTTAGAATACCACGTAAGAATGCCTCAATTAGGGACCTGTAAGGTCATGAAGCTGGAAATAGTATCCAGACATCCAGATGTGTCCAGCATCCCGTGTTAAATCATTTTGGTGCAGCTTTCCGTTTGGAAACGCCCGCGGTTGGGCCACATGTAGGGACACGTCACTGGTGTTGTTTCCTCGCTAGAGGATGCACCCGAGGAGAATTGGGGTACATTATATACTTCCGGCCATTTGTCATCATCTCAAAATCAAGCGGGGAGAGTCTGAAGTGAAAGCAAGGGTGTTTGGGAAGAAAAACCGTGCAAGATCTGGGGCAAGGGTTCAACATGTGTCAACATAAACCCCTTTCTTGAACCTGTGTATGCACAGTCCGCCCGGCATTTCCCAGCTTTTAGGCCGGGTAGTTTGTCAATAGTGATGGGATTGCAGGAGCCTCCCACATATTGTTTGGGTCCTCACATGTCAGGACCTTTCGCAGCATGAACCCCGAAAACATGATCCCCATTGTTCCTAATCATGGGATTTGCGAAGTCCATTGCTTTCAGGTTTGTCCAGTTTGCTGGTCCACACCGCTGGAGTGCTGGCGACGAAAGAGAGGCACCGGCTGTTTTCCACCGGCCACGCCGTTGTTCCGTCGAGAGTTTCTCCGGCGAAACCTTGTTCGACGACTCTGGCACCAGGAAGAAGAGCCTCCGCGTTGTGGCGGAGGCTCCAAACAAAAAGCACCACGACACATGCGGAATGCGTTTCTTCTTAGGCAACGCATTGCGCTTCCACACGACACGTGCAAGGAGTGCAATTCAGTGTGAGAGTCCGTATTGATTGTGTGTGCGTGTTGAAGAACAAGATTCTGGACATGAAGTTGTTTGGATCGTGTAGAGGAGTTCCCCGAACCTTATTTGTGTTTTGTTGTTAATGATTCCCAAGATTCAAGGGATTGCTTCGAAGCTTCTCCATTGAAATGTCCATTGGATAGAGAAACATCAAGGATGCTTCTGGGATCCTTTATATTCACTCTTGATGTTTGTAATAAGCTATCCCATGCAGATGCATGTTTTTTGAACATCCTTGAGTTGACATTCGCTGGGCGACAAGCATGTTAATTTAGATTGGAATGACTGGTTGTGAGGCTCCATGTTGTGAGACACAAAAAATCTCGAGTACAGACTCCAGACATTGCAATTGCTCTTTGGCGCAGGCCAACGGCAGCTCCCCTCTTGGTAAACATCGCGACCTTGCTGGAGCTGCTTTTTGCGGAACCCTTCGGCAGCTGCGAGCGACATGAAGAGCTCAAGAATCCAAACTAAGAAGTTGTACTGCATGATGGGACATGGGATCCAGACATCCCACACAACTTCATAACGGAAATAGTTGGAGCCCTACTTGTAAGGCCCTAGGGTGTTGTAGCCCATGAAATGCTCGTGCACTGCGGGAACAGTGCACGAACACACCCCCCAAAATGATCAGAAGGCCCAGTTGTTTCCGGTTTCGAGAGCAAGTCGCATCACGGCACAGACCAGCAAATGAGCCACAGTCAAAATCCTAGCGACTAGGATTTGAATAAAATTGATCATTTTTGGTGGGATCTTGCAGAATCTTGCACATTCCTTGGAAAACGAAGCCGGCAAACCAAAAACGAAACCTCTTGGTGGGATGTTTGCATGTGTATCCTCTTGGAGTGCATGAAATGTGGTGTCTCCAAACGAAGCCAAAACGAAGCCCCAAACGAAGCCAAAATCCACGAACAAGTGTCCTTTGTAGACCCTGCCCCAAATGCCCCGTACTGTAAGAAGTTCCTTTGCTGTACTGGTAGGTTTTTGAAGAAGTTCCTTTGCTGTACTTCACATTGTAAAGGTCTAGTGCTAATACAACTCACCTGGTGAACAAACAGAGCATAGTACCCTAACTGGTGCAATTCCTTGAAAAATGAAGCCATAAAACCAAAAACGAAGCCTCAGTAGAAACGATCAATGTTGAACGTTCGTTTGCCGGTCGCTCAAATGGTGTGATTCCTCCAAAAGACACGGTCACAGATGGCCCACCCTTGTGCAGTAGGAACATGTTTTGTTGGGGAGGCAATTCTTTCATCGGCTTCCCAGTTTCCAGAGTTTAAAGCTAAAGAGAAACCACTAGCTCTCGAGTTTTTGTGAATTTTTACCCTGTGCCAGGCTTGGCAAATGGAATGCCCTCGTGTGCTCCAAGTTTGGCCCCGGCAGTTCCCACAGCTTTGACATCGCACGTCACGCGCACGTCCACACGTGCGGGTCAGGAGCGCTTCGCCTTGAAAATGACGAGCCCTGCGGTGTGCGTAGGGGCTGAGCTCCTAGCGCTCTTGACGTGGCTCTCCTGGGCCAAGGCGGGTTTCGAAAGGGGTTGCAGAAGTGGTGGAAACAATCATGGCATGGCCCCTGGAAGATGGTTTTCCTCTACAGTACAAGGGGGTCCTGGTCAGCTTCCACGATTGTTGGAGGGAGAGTATTTGTTCTGTACTACTTGGATCTACTTGGCTCACACGGATGCTGTTCTGACATAGGCTACAGGTCTCATGCAGTCTGTCCAGGGGTTCCAAAGCCATCACCCTTTTGACACCAATCCGTTTAGGAAATGGACGGAGAAGGAACAATTCCTCAAGGTCTGAGCAGCTTCTTCCGTTTGATTCGGCCTGATGTTCATGTTCAAGCAGACTTGTCCAATCAAAGTTTGGGAAGGCAGGGCGGCGAACCAAATCACGGCTGTTCACGTCCCCCGAACGTGGTGCCTGCCGAACCGTGCGCGGACGTGGGAGGAGTCCCTCTCAGGGGAGGAGGCCAAGCCGGGCTCCGCCACGCTCGCGCGGCTGCACCGCCCCGACCTCGACTGACGCTGACGGACTGGACCCTGGATTGGGAGGGAACTGGCCTGCTAACTGGGCAGCTGGAAGCCTGGAGTTGAAGTCCTGGAACCCCCCGAAGCGAACAACCCATGAAACGACGCCCACCACCCACTAACGCTGGAGACTTCTTCAGGTAGCTCAAGGTTTCACCAGACCATGTTTAACATGTTTCACGCCCGCGACATGGTTATTGGAGCTTGACAAGTTGTGCCTTAAACACTGCATGTCACGGCCCTTGGCCCCAAGCATTTCGTCAGTGAGAGACAGCGTACCGGGTAGAACACGCATTGCCCAGCAAGCTATGGTTACCAGACAGATATTTCCAGATATAGTTTAAGGATGCTAAAGAAAACAATAGATAGTATGCTATTGTATGCTGCATATATATATATATATGATTATCCAAGCAATTCCCAGCATATACAAATCGTACAAAGAATGACACACGCACCACATCCAACTCACCTCATGCAGCTGGGCCGGGCAGAGGAACCATCAGCCACTACAAAGCATCAAGAAAGCTAAATATAGAAGCAATGAGGAAGGCAGACTTGTGGCATGAAGGACCATACCAAAATGAGGTCACACCCCGCAACCCGTCAATGGTTTTTGCTTCGTTTTTTGAAGGGGTTGATACTATTTGATAATGTGGCCCCTGAAATTAGAGTTTCGCTTTTTACTGCTCGTCACTGCTTGACGAATGCCTTGGGCTCTTCGGTTCCAGCTCTATGACTACGGCTTGCAGCTTCTCCCGGTTCCCTTCGTCCTTCTCGTTGCTTTGGCGCAGCTTCTCGGCTGTGCTGCAGCGCCGTGCGGCACGGAGGAGTTGTTTAAAGCATTGGAGGGCCTCCGGTGGGTGCGGCATGTCCAGGAGATGCCGCCGCCCAAACGCTTGTCCGTACCGAGCAGCACGGACAGTACAGAGCTTACATGTACAGAGCATATCGTAGACATACATGTACCTACATGTACGTATTTACACTGCACGTCACGAGTAACAAAGCTTGATGCTATACTGGCTGTACTGTCAGTGTTATGCAAATTATCCAGTGATAACATCGTAAATCATTGTGCGTGTGCCAAACATGAACTAACTATATGTTTGAAGGCCGTTTCCTTTTTTAGAACGAAACAGCACCGTTAAGTGCTTAACTGTTTTACTGTGTGTGTGTGTTTGTTTTTTGTGAGGGAACACATGTTCAAGCAAAACATGCCAATCCCGAAACGCACAAAATGGTGCTCAAACGGCGCAATGTTTGAGCAATATTTTTGAGTGCTTGTGTTGAAGAAAGTGGCGGGTTGAAACCACATGTTTTTCTTGAAGCTGCATATGCCCGCGAAGTTACTGGGTGTGCTTCAGGCTTCTCCAGGACCAAATGCCTGCACCAATCATGAAATGTCTCCAAGCAGCTCAGTTTGTGTCTGATTTGGTGCTGAAGGATCTCCACCCTGATTTGGTGCCGCCGGCACCTTATGACATACCATCAGTATGCACGACTATGCATATGTGACTTTTCACCCAACAGAGAAGCCAGCGAGCACAGCTTCTTTCTGCATCAAAGTCAGAAAGACCCAACAGATGACGAACACAGCTGAGTCAACCAGAGCCAGGGGACCAACTCCAGCAGACGTGATGGAACACCTGGGGATGGGTCGTGATGGAACCACCTGGGGATATCGCGGACCACGCAGATCGCGGACCACGCGCCACACCGGTGAACCCTGGGAGGATCCCTCAGCGCTCTGGGACGCGTGTGCTCATGATCGACCCAGCCGTGCATTGGTGGCGGCCAAGCGGAGGGCATTGGAGACGGCATGCCGGTGCTTCAGTTGGCTCAGGGAGCCTTTCTCACAAAAAGAATCCACATGGAGGAATGAGCATGTTGTTTGGCTGTCGCAAGGGTAGAATCCCAAAGTCCATCAAACTTCCAAGTCGCAACATAGTGAGACCCCGTGTTGAACATGTCTCTTTAATGTGATGAACCATCACTACGCGACCAGCTTCTTCATCCTGTCGTCGGCTCCGGACTCCATCCTGTCGTCCCGGACCCTGTGTGGACCGACCGCACCCGGACCATCCATGGGAATATTTACAATGCTGGTTGCAACATGTTTCGATGTTTACTGTATAAGTAAGCCTCCATGCTTGCAACGTTTGGAGTGTTTGGGGCTGTGGTTGAAGGAATGGGCGTGTGTGGTACGTGACGTGTTGCATGAAACAAGTTCTGAGCATTTGTGGCAGTTCTTTACTTCGACATATTCATGAAACTTCAGCAGATCGTCAGTCGTCAGACTGCACTGCTCTAAAGAAAGGTAGCACCTGTGAAAGAACCGACCGGACTGGGGTGGCAAGAGACTCCCTGAGACACCAAGGAAACCTGGGAGACGGCTGAGAAGCTGGAGATGCAAATGAGGAAGAGCATGAGATTTGGATGCAGCATGGTCCACAATGAAAAGACAAAAGTTTGGTTGGTGGTTTCAACAATGTGATTTATATACAATATATATATATAATATATAAGGATTCTGTTATATAGTCATGACGGTGCGGTGAGTATGAGCTAGTACCTCAACTTCATAAAGTTCTTCCACGGGCGACGGGCAATTCTTCGTTCCATCAGAATCCCACAGCAAGTCACAGCAACCAATGGTTTTGTGGGATTCTGATGGAACCCTTTGTTGTTCTATGATTCTGTGGCAGATCCGCTGGTGCAGGACCTCCTTGTTCTATGATCGGGAGGCCTTGTGGAACCTCTCCCGACGGCTGTCCACGCCTATCAGCCACCCCCGCGATCTGAATCTCACGCAGATCTACGAAGAACGGATGGGACACATCCACACGGCAACCTGGAAAAAGATCCGGGGGATGCTGGCACTGGTGGATGAAGAGTTGAAGCACAGTTGGCCAAGAGCAACACTTTTCAAAATCCATGATTCCAGTCTTTGCATTTATTTAGGTTTGAGTCACTTGCTAGCCTGAAGTAGTGACTAAGTAGTGTTCACATATATATATATATATGATTCTTTGACGTTGCGTCTTGCCACAAAAAGTTACAGTATGTGCCATAACATTCTATGGTGACCTCTGCCGGTTCGTGTCCCGTGAGGAACTATGGCAAGGATTCCGAAGCCCTCGTGGCACAAATCTTGCGCCAAGCCCATGCCTTGTATTTGCCGCTTTGGGATTGGCTGCATGGGCTAGGCAACAGCTGCCTTCCCAACATTTTCACCCGCTCCTGCCATTCGGAGCACTTGCCCATTTTTCAGTTGTTTCCTCCGGTGCAAGGGCCGCCCAATGATGGGCAGATTATGGACCTTCGGCAGGACATGGCACACTGTTGTTGTGGTGAGAGTACCCAGAGCCCCTGTGGTCAGAAGACTTGTCATCCTAGTCATCCACACTAAGCCTGGCTCAAAGGGGGTGGTGGAAATCACATGCAAATTGCTGTTAAGGTCTGTAAAAGTTAAAATCATCACTTCCAAACACATGTGAGTTTGGTCCAATCCACAGTGTTCCGGTCCTGTTTAACCCAGGACCGGACCGTTCAACCACGAACCGTGAACCGGGTCCCAAGAAATCCACCGGAGAGTTCACCCACCCAGTCCGTTTGGAGTCCAGCAATAAGGACTTCTTGGGCATTACCACCCGTTTGCCGGACGTGTGCTTCAAAGACATGTCCGTCCTCCTGGCGCCGAGCCGAATCCTCGAGTGCTACTTCGAAGCCAACGGGACACCCCTGAGGCGGAAGACCGGTGGGACCGCGGTGCGGTGCCGCGGTGCGCGAGTGTGATGACCTACTTAGTAGTCGGATTACACGCCCAAGCTGTTTGGGGAAGAAAAGGACATCCAGGCCACCACGAAGAGGAAGAAACTATAAGGGTGATTTTCATCGCCAAGCCCAGGTTCATCCAACTCAAAGTCGTGTTTGTGTGTGTTTGCGCCACTCGTGTGCATTGGGGCCGCTATCCGATCACACCATTCAAAGCCACAGCCCTTGTTACCAGTAGGCCAGGAGCGCCCCGTTCGGTTTCGTCCGATCGCTCCGTTCGAGTCGCGATGCCCTAAGCTACTCCTAGTAGCGAACCTTGTTAGTAGCGTCCTTGTTACTACTAGTAAGGCACTTGTTACTAGAAGCGATGCACTTGTTCCTAGTAGCAGGAACTGGCCCTTCTTGGACGAAGAATACCTGGAATGGGCCGATGTCTTATCCATCGCCGCGGCCGCCGCCCGAACACACGGCGGCCTGCGGGTGGCGGAGATCGGATCAGGACCCATTGGGCTTTGGGGGATTCGAGCTGCCAAGGCGGGAAAAACAGGGAGAGAAGAGATAGGGAAGGGCAGGCCACCTCAGGTTACAGGACGAGTAGGGAGGTAGGAGTTCTGCATTTTCTTGATCAACTTCATTTTGCATGACAATCAATATAATATGTCAGTGCGCCAAAAATGTAAAATCACCTGGTGAACCTTGTTAGTCAAGAACATGTTAAAAAGATGTTAAAAGCAGTGAAGGATACCGTATTGAATGGTATACATACGCATACGTATGTTTTTTGTCTATAGATACTTTTGGACGGATTTCTGAATTCTACACTTCGGGTAGCTTCTTGCTTACGTCACAACTTGCAGATCACCACCCTTCAAGGGGCCCAAGGGTATCACCAGGCACTCACCAATCGTGCAGAGCACCTTTTTCAGTTTGAGGCCTTTGTTCGCATGGCAGATAGCGACGCAACGGCGCCGGGCCGCGCTGGGCACTGCGAGGTGCTGTTAGTGGAACCTTACGACTTGGGCGACGGCTCCGCCTTGGAGAACCATTCCGCGGCGAACCTGCCGGAGGGTCGATGTGACATACGCGTCGAGGGGAAACCCGTCAAAACCTCAGATGATCTCCAGCAGTTGCTGAAGGGAAAATCGTGGGATTCTTGGAGAGAATGAGCTTGTGGACGGTGGTGACATAGGCTTATTGATTATGTTTGGTTCTATTCGTTTGTGCTCCAATCGATTTCTGATATGTTGTTTTATTTTCCTGCACATGCTGGGACAACAGCTTGGTTTTGTGGTTTCGTATCACGTTCTGGTGGCACTTTATGGCAACTTTCTCATTTTAAGTGAACGCACCCGTGCTCGATGTTGATTTTTGTGTCTTGAAAAATATCTAACGTGGCAATCCACGTGATTTGAATGTCACGCGAGGTGGGTGTCCTAATTTGAAGACACATCACGATAGATGGAACGTTTGCTTGAAACAAAAGTCGATGCTGCACCCGGCCCTGCAAAAGAAGCAGGTACTGCTTCACACCACTGAACATGGATCAAGATTGCGCCAATGGTTTGTAGTCACCGAGTACTTTGTTTGGTATCTCCACCTCTAAGGACCTGGTGGATATTGACGCCCAGGGCGCCGAGCACGGCATGCTCCGCTCCCTGATGCCCTGGTTGGCTCAGCTCCCAGTGCAGCGCTTGCACGTGAGCACCCACGCACGCTGGATCCACCGCGACATCCGCCGCTGGCTCCTGGACGCCGGCTGGGTCCTCCTGGCCGATTCCCAGGCGAAAAGCGGCGGGATGACAGGAAGAAGCGGCGGTTTTTCCAGTGAAAAGCGGGGGAGTTTGATGGGATTTAGATCGTTTGATGTTTGGTGAAAATGGTTTCAAGCTCACCGAAGGAGAGGATCGTTTGTAACATTTGCTGTTTTGCATGTTTGTTCAAGGTGTTCTGAGATCAGAGCCCCAAAAAGTAACGAAACAACATGAAGCAACATGAAACAACTAACAAAACTTGATTCGGTGTCATTTGGTGTCATTCACAATCAGCCCAGCTCATTGAGCAGCTGAGAGGCCTTGTCCCTCACCGACTACCCACATTTGCGCTTGGGCCCTTTTCTAACCAACGACGGGCACATCACTGCGGTGCCACCGCGCGCTCTATGGACGTGACCGAAAAAAAACCGGAGACAGCGCGAGTGTTCGGGTCGACGTGGGTCGGTGGGTTGCGGTGGGTCGGCTAGACCAGCTGTCCGCACATCCGTCCTGGCTGGACATGCCCAAGCCCGTTACACCATATATCCTACACCACTACACCACTTGGACTTGATTGGTTGTACACTTGGACACCCCTTGGAAGTGACGGCGTGTAACAACATGTGCTCAATGCTGATCATGTCATTCTGTAGAAATGCTGAGCTTGGAAGATGGGCGATGGAGACAGAGGAGAACGGAGAGAATGAGAGAGTGAGTGAGCGTATTCATTCCATTTGCAAACCTACTGGCACCATCGAATCATGGCCAACTCCCGAGGTCATATATGAGAAAAGTACTTGCGTGTTTTTGTTGGTTGCTCGGTTCCCGGTCTTGCTTAAGCACAATTAAAGCGTTGACAATGCGTTGCTGTCAAGATCTTACTGTTATGTTGCTGTGCTGCTCACTCCTCGTGGCCAAACTGGGTGTGCAACTCCCTGTAACTTTACGTGACCCCTACAATTTGTGCAACCCGCGCGTGTGGAAATTGAACAATAAACGTGCAAAAAAGACCGAAGTCATTGCTTTGAAAGGAGGATCGCACAAATTGTGAAATGGGTACTGATGATTATGCAATGGAATGGGTTTTTCTTATAGTAACCTTACGATATCCTTGATTACAAACTAGGGCTCCAGGTTGGTCAATCGCTTCGTGTCAACCTGTCAACCTTCATTGCTTGGCACCTCAGAGGTGCAGCACCCATCTTTGCAGATCTGAGGTGGTAGCTTCGTGAGGACATTGCTGTCCGCTGTAGGCGGTTCTTCGCGCGAGGATGTGCTACTGGCCGTGTGCCGCTTGTACTTTGCGCCGTTCGGGCGCCCAGAGTTCGAAGGCTGGGCAGGTGGCTATGGCTCAAGAATAGGGTACCTCCAAAGAATCTGGAAGGAAAACTACAGCATTTGAGTCCTTCACTCCTTAGGTCAGGTCTGAATAGTTGAGCTACAAAAACTTCGGGCCCCAGCTGTGCAAGAAGATATGGTGGTCAGATTATTGACCACCCCGGATGAGAGAAGGTTTGGCTTTCTGGATTTCTTTATGCTTGGACATTTGGATTGGCCATGTGCTCAATTCAATGTCGTGAAGGGTCGCCGTTTGACTTATGAGCGTGGCCAGTGGTTTTCATGTTCCCTGGTTTCCGGGCTGCTGAAGTGACGACCCTTGGGAATCAGTCATCCCTAGCGCTCCTGGCCTAGCTCCGTTGCGAACATGGTTGGGGTGCCAGGGGGATCCATCTGAGGACATGGACATGGCCCCCAGGCAACCTCTTAGACTCCGAATCCCTGGTCCCTGGCTGATTTCGCCCTTCCTACACTGACCCGCAAAATCTGAAGACCCAACGGAGCTTTCACTTCCATCCTGTCGGATTTGCAAGCCACGACTGCATATATGACTCACTTCATGAGATCAGTGACTTATCCGATTAGCTATACTCCCAACCACCAACTCAAGCTGATTGGAGTTTGACCAGCCACGATTCACGATTCTTCACATTTTTCCATTGGCCTGTTTCACCGGGTCGAGCCCGGTCGACCCACATCGGGTCGGAGAAATGCTCCTGAAGATCACGTCAGGCCATGTGAAAACCCTCCTGAGCCCGCCTGCGGCTGTTGGTTGGTCCAAACCCTCCTGACAAAGCAGATCCATTCGCGGCGAAAGCCATTTCCACCGTGTCGCATCCCCGTGGAGCCCTGAGCGCGGCAGGTCCAGCGGTGCAGAGTCTGAGGTGGATCCTCCACTGGAGGTCAAGGGGGTCACAGCACGAAGACGTGACTGGTGTTTGCAACCTTTAGCCAGACTGAATGGGGTCAACTGGGGCATGCTACCACCGGCAAGATGAAGACTTGAACAGAATGAATTGGATAGAGGAATGTTTGGTAGCATCAACCATGGTTGCATGAAGACCTACCCAAAGAACATGCGCTATACCTCTTTGGTTCAAGGACGCCGCTTTGCCTCCTTCAGATCGCCCGAATCGGGAAATATCGCCAAAAGGATGATTAGTGCACATACTTCAGTACCAGGCTAGCATTCTGCCTACGTGATCGAACTCGGAACAAACAGCCTGCTTTGGAAAAACAAAAGAAGCACACTCAGAAGCCAAAGACCACAATGCACCACAATCAGATCAATATCAGCCAATTCCAAGCAAGTGTTTGCTTCCGTGCCATGGTGTGGCCCTCCACGGTTCTCCAAGCCACGTTGTCTTTCAAAGAAAATCAAATCCAAGTGACGTGCCAGAGTTTGGCGGGGGAAACGCTGGGGAGCTTCTGGCGCAACCAGGATGAGACTTTGCAGGAGCTGGAAGATGGACTTCTAGGACTGTGAGTGGAAGAGGGTTAACTGCATCGAATTAGTTTGGAGTCTTCACCAAACCTGCCGGTTCAAACGACTGCAACGACTGGTGTGTCGGTGTTCTGGTTCCTATCGGGGCCATCGGGACGATTGGGGTGGGCGGAGCAGAACTGACTGCTGGGCATTCACGTTTTAAACGAACCTTTTGGCTTTGACGGTGTGGTTGGCGGTCAGTGGGTGTGACGGTCAGTGACTGGTAGACGGGCCGACACGGGCCATTGATGCACGGCATTGACGCAGGAGTGTCCGGCTGGGACCACGTCCTCCTCCGAATTCACCGTGCGGATGCACCTCAAGTGGATTTGGACAGAGCTACGTTGTTGCTGGACTACTTGGACTCGAGCCAGCAGGGGCAGCTGGTGATCGTGAGAAGTCAGTTGGGCGTATGGCTTGAGACGTACCCTAACACGGGAAAGCTGCTGAAAGCCATGCAAGAATTTGCCTTTCACCCCAACTCCAAAAGCTTCAACGTGAATTGGAGTGTGAAGACAGTAGATGAAGTTCCTCCAATCATGACATGCAAGCTGCTGAAAGAGGCCTTTCCAGCAACGGACGAGGCCTACGTGCGCTTTGTGCGAGTTTTAGCACGATTGACGGCATACATGGAAGAGTGGAACATGATCAATTTGCGCTTCCTTCAGAATTGGGATCCTGGAATGAAGTGTTTGAGGCATGTCTTGTGTGAACATTGGATGGAGTTAGCTCGCTCAGCTGCCACGGAGATGGTCCCCGAGAGACCTGATCCCATCTTCCTGCTGAGAAGCCATGAGAGCGGGCGAGGTGTGGCGGGCATTGTCCCCTTGGGCCACTCCTTTCCGGCCGCTTTTGAACGAAACTTACGAGTGCTTCCTTTTCCCAATGCCACTCCCTCTCTTGAGGTGGGAGATGGGGCAGCAGCTCTCTTGTCACTGGACGTGGATTGGTCCAAGGAAACTCAAAGTGATGAGGTCTTGAGTGCTTTCAGGAGTGAAGCGATGATTGTTTTGACATGCTTGAGCTGCATTCCCGGCTCTATAGGATCTCTTTATGGAGCCTGCCAAGATATTCCAAGGGGAGTGGTGACCCTCCGGAATCATTTGTTTGAACAATGGTTCTTTAACTAATTGTATGGCAACCTCCTCGGGGGTTCAGAACCATGCATAATTATTAGGAAAACATCACATGAACAACATAAACATATTCTGCAGGGCTTTGTGGACAGGTGTCATTCTTGATGTGCGTGTATGGGCATGCTTTCACACACCAAGCCGACAAAGCTTTTCCCAGGAGGTCCAGCACCTTTGGAATAATTAGGCATATTATTATATACACACATAATGTCACATATATATATATATAATATTTTTTAAATAGCAATTTAAGAAACATATGTACTGAAAACCCTCCCGGAATGATTCCGAAGTACCCCAAACCTTCTACGGGAGGGCCCATATCTGATCGGTTGGGGTATATGTCGCATGGCCTTTTCCAAGGCATCCAATGGTACGTGCTCCGGGTCCCGATGGTGTAGTGATCTAGTGCTCCATGCACTGCCAGAGTCAGGAGGATTCGGGCAGATCCTCCTGCCATTGAGGGCAATGAGGTCTTGAGGCTGGTCCACATACAGCTACGCCTGTCCAGCATGGGATTGGCTGAAGTCCTGGGCGAGGCTTGGCAGCTGAATGACCATCGCAATCCAGTCGAACCATGTCGAACCAACCAATCCAAACATTACTCCAGTGCCCCCCCCAAAGGGAGAATTCAATAGAATTCAACAATTTAGCACAAACCTGGAAAACTCTGAAACTCTGTTTCTCGGTAAATTGGGCTCCATCACTTCCAGAAGCCCCCTTCTTCACTCGAAGCGAGTTGCGTTTGCTCCCCAAGCCTTGCTGCAGTCTGGTGAGGATTTTCCTGCCATCATACGGTATCCTGTGGCGTTTTGGTTTGAAAACTCCTAGACGTTGCCACATGTCGTTCCTGTCTAAGAGGTTCTGCTGGTGGTTTGGTGCTGTCCGGAGTCGACATCAGACTTCATGGATGTTGGCTCTTTTGATATTGTTGTACCGCCCCCAGATGGGCAGAGCGCCGCACAGTCAGGAACTAGACCAAACACACGCGCACTTTCTGGCGGAGCTCCTGCGGTACAGTTTTTATGTTATGAAGGATGGTCAGGGCTTACACGAGAAAGTGAAGACAGCGACTGCAGAGTTCAAGCCAGATGAGAATCGAGGACACCCGATCCTATCTTTGCAACCAGCATGTTCCTTTGTTTGGTGTTGGATTTTGGATGTGGTTCCTATTTGCTTTGAATCACTTGCTTGCCAGCTCGCTGATTCGTGTTTCGTGGGCTGATCAACGCTCCAAGGACCCCCGCAAGGAATACAATGCTTCCTTGTTGTCCTTATCGTATGTTCAGTTGATTTAGGTGTTAAGGGTGACTGAGAGTTTTTATGCCTCTCTATTTTGCTTTCAACTGGCTGCATCATGCTATATACACTATGGGCCAGAGGAATGTCATAGAATGTCAATGACATGTTCGTTTTTCATCTGGGCACCGGACCCACGCTCAAACAGCTCCAGGACTCCTTTTGTTGGTCCTTGGACTCCAAGCCTGGGAACGCGCTGAACACTTTGCAAGCTTGATCGAAGACGCCAAACCGGTGCCACTGCGACTGATTTTGTGTGGCTTGGTCTGGCGCCTTTTTTTGAAACCGTGTCGCGGAGTCGCGGAGTATACGGAACCTATTGGCTTCGCTTAGGTTTCTCATAAGTTCGAAGCCAGTGTTACAATTTGGTTTGAGGTTTGGCCAGCTTTCAGCGAAGGTGTTTTGTTTTGGGGGCAACATGCTCAATCAGTGCATGTTGCAGTTGGAGAGAACATTGATTCTGGCAAGACCAGCCTTGGGTTGAAGAGTTCTTTCCTGGTCCAGCTTGTCCCTGGTCATGGTGCAGTGCAGACTCTCACTGTGTTTTGCCGCCCTTGACATGAAAAACAGAGTCCGCTTGAAACTCCTTCCCATTGTTCTCTTGAAGCCAATTTTTGTCGAGGTCCGAGACCATGAATGAGAGCATGTTTGTTTTTTGTTCCAGGCAGGCCGCAGGCCTTTACCAGATTCTTCAATTCTCCTCAACCAAAAACACATCAGAAACCAGGTGCCTCCGAGCCTCCGCGGATTGCGCCTCAGGCTACGAGGAGCCGCAAACAGTGGATGGTTCTTCCACCATGGCTGCATGCGCTTGGTGGCCCGAGCGTCGCTGCAAATCACCCAAGAAGGGCGGTGCTGGATACGACTCCGGAGATTCTCCGCAATCACCCTGAGCCCACCGGACCTACATTCCTTGCGACTGGAATCGCGAAAAAACTGATTCCCAGCGCGCAGGTAGTGGGGGAAGGCTGGGGAAGGCATGATGAAGGGAGCTTGTCATGTGTTAGTCGTCGTGGTCAGTCTCTCAGATTCGGGGCTTTCTTTAAGACCATGTAACAATGGATTTCGAATGATTTCGATCTTCACTGAGAATGCTGGAATCTTTGGACCATTGTCCCAGGTCGTGAAGCGTGACCCAGACTGGCCCAAGCACGGCCAAGGTGTTGCGCCATGTTGCGCTACTGGCTGTGTTGGACGGAACCCAGCTTGTCACACTGCACAGCAACAGCAGCTATACGAGCTATAATTACATGTCAATACATGTCAAAGCCCGGATCCCGTCGTTCATTCGATATTGCCACAGACCCAGTGGATGAATGGATACTTGAATGGATATGAATGGGCCATTGTTCCAGAGCAGAACATGTCAGTTCCTCCATCGCTTCTGCCATGGCGTGGCCGTCCATCTTGCAGGCCACCCTCCAAGCGCGAGCTGTGAGCCTTCCTGAGCTGAGCTTGAGCGGGGCGACGCTGGGGGACGCGCTTGGAGAAGGAGGCGACGCTCGAAGAGCTGGAAGATGGACTTGGAGGACCTCATTGTGAACTTTGATGTCACATGTGACTGGGTTTGTGTGGATGCTATGTGATCGGGCTGGGAGGGTGGAACTGAAGACGACGAGTGCAAGTGATTGGGCTTTGACTCTTGGGACTCCCGGATGTGTTCATGAATGCTTGGGAGTTGGGAGTGGCTTTTTGGATGAGTTCCACCTTCCAAACTGGACCGGACTGGTGATTCAGGCCACACAGGGCTCCTGAAAAGAAGAACTGAGGCTGAAAGCCGAATGGCCGAGTTGCAGAAAAGTGTTTGCTTCAGCGCACCGTACTCGTTTAAATTCACAGTGTCCACGCAGGGCATGGCCATTGACGCAGGATTGTCCGGCTGGGGCCGCGTCCTCCGAATTCACCGCGCGGATGCACCTCAAGTGGATTTGGACAGAGCTACGTTGTTGCTGGACCATTTGGACTCGAGCCAGCAGGGGCAGCTGGCGATCGTGAGAAGTCAGTTGGGTGTATGGCTTGAGACGTGCGCCATGCAAGAATTTGCCTTTCACCCCAACTCCCAAAGCTTCAATGTGAATTGGAGTGGGTCTTTGACGGCGAACATGGAAGTGGAACATAATCAACCTGAATTGTCTTCAGAATTTTGATCCTGGAATGAAGTGTTTGAGGCACGTTTTGTGTGGACATTGGATGGAGCTAGCTCACTCAGCTGCCACAGAGATGGTCCCCGAGAGCCATCTTCCTGCTCAGGCCCCGTGAAAAAGTTAGAACATGTTAGAACCATGGAGAACCCGCATCGCACAGTGTTTGTCCTGGGCCACTCCCTTCCAGCTGCATTCGTGCAAAGCATGTCTCTTTTGTAGAGGCAGCTCCCTCTCTTACAATGGACACTGGAGCAAAAGTGCTCCTATCATCTTGCCATTAGGCTCCCTTTCCTCTCCCTCCCTGGTTTCCTCAAAGAGGGCCATTCTGGGATGCGAAGTCAGCTTTGCGGAACCCGCAACGGGTGCGAACTGGCTCAGTTGTTGCTTGGTGAGGCACAACCCTTTCCCCCTACCCAATACATCCCAAAGGTCCCAACAGACAATCAATATCCTCTTCTTTCACGACTCCCCTTCACCCAGATCTTAACTGCAACTCTTGAACCCCAACCGACCCAACCGCCCCCAACCGGCGACATGGCCGGACCTACCCATCGGCCCTCCGCGGAGCGCCGCGCTCCGCGGCTCCGCGCCAGGTCTTGCAGACCTTGGCCTTCGCCACCCCGTTGGCCGAGCGGCTCTTCCCCAGCTTCCACGGCCTCATGAGGAGCACGTGGAGAACGGGACGGGGTGTCCGATGTCGATGTCGATGCCTGGAGAGAAGAGGGGCGAGAGGATGGGACAGATTGACGAATTGATGATCTTATTGCTGTATGTTGTTTGTACTTGTTTGTTGTTGTTGTTGTGGTGGTGGTGGTGTTTTGTGATGTTTCGTGTTTGTGTTTTTGGACGATTTGTTGAAAGATCAATGCAACTCCATGGCCATTTGATTGTCACTCTGCGACCAGAAGCTTCTGTGGCTCTTGAGGATTTGGAGACGAAGCAGTGCCCATTTGTGGGGCGTCAGTTTGTCCCCCGCTGCCCATTCCTGCGCCCACACTTGAAGGTTTTCGTTGACAAGTGGAGATGTGTGTGTGTGTGCACGTTTTCCACATATAGGTGTTTAAGACAGATATTTTCAACACAAAATCTGTGGGCATAGTTGACAAACAAAATTGAAGATTGTTGTTGCGATCATGTTATTTCCATGAATGTTGTTTGATCAACATTTGCATGATTTCAACAAACAACTCCAGACGTTCAAAGGCGAAGGACGAGTCACACCAAAGGCCGCCTTTTCATCCATTGTGCGCAGGATGATCCCAACCAATCATTTGTTCTTTACCTGCCGAACAGACTCATGCTGTTTGATGAGGATTCCATGGCCATCCGACCACATCATGGCATCATGATATATCATGATATCAGTTAAGAACAAGTGAAAGCTAACATAGGCCTTATAGTAGCCCAGGCATTCCACCTATTTGGCCACATTTTCTCTATCCAAACACCTTATAGTCGTCCAAAAAGTGGGTGACGTCACCAGTCTGCCGACCTCGCAGGGATCCCTGCGAGTTCACTCAGTTTGCGATCGGATGGTGATCGACACCTTTCACCACACCAAATTGGTGCCAAAGGCAACTCTCCGGAGCGCGCCCAATCCCCTGCCCCGCAGGAATCGCAGTACGGAGGCGATCTTCCAAGCGCTTCAGCCGCCCAGTTTGGCCAACGCGGAGGCCATCCGGTTGCGGGTCTTCTGCTGCGCCGGGCAGCCCGGCGTCCGCGCGAAAATAAAGAAAGAGAAGAAGAGACGAACAAGCCATTGAACAAGACTAGCTTCAGGTTCATGGGTTTCGCCTTCGGTAGTGAAAAGGATTGCGAAGCTTGCTGGACTCAGACAGTCAGAGTTGGAAGAAGCTGTATTTGAGTGTATTTGTCAGATCCGCTTTGGCCGCTTTGACTAGGCCCTAGTCCTACACTCGCACCACACTTGTCCCATCAGTCCCGTATCTAGCTACAGGAACTTGGTTCGGACACCTCGTGCAGCAACGTGCAGCGACGCAATCCAACCGAAGGAGTCCAGCTACCGTGAGAGTGGGTGATGAGAACCCACCATTAGATTTACAAATTGATCATCTACGGTGCACCTCGCACGCAGCGCACCTCTCCCTGCAACATCGCCGAGAAAAAATCAACACGACGAAACTGGTCACTCTCACAAGTACCCTGGAGCTTGGACTAGATTGAAACTGTTGAAGATGGTGGTATGGATGCGTTTGTTTTTCCACAGGCTTGGCTGTTTTGAGGTATTTTCACCTATACTAGCCAGCTGAGCTGAGTGAGCATTACCCAATGGCTGATGCACATGGCATTCTAAGATGCAGAGACAAGAATTGTCGTGGATGTTCTGTTTAAGAAACATCTCAATGGTGCAGATGTTCTTCCATCAACTCTATATCCAACGCTCATGTGATGCCGTGAAGTGGCCAGTTCTTCCAGGAACTGTGCCCACTGAGGTCTATGCCGTACAACTCCAACCCATGTACGACTACGAGTTCTTCGGCGAAGCCAATCCCCTACGACTAGAAGAGGTTCGGAGAGTTCGGGGGCCGTGGATCCGAGGTCCTGTCTCCGCTACGAAACAGGAAGGGCTAGCTCAGTGACTCAGTAAATATTGTGTGGGTCAAAGCCTCACCCAAGAAATTATGGAAGCTTGACATCCCTCATAATTAATAGAGGAAAATGTTCATCTTCAGGGATCAATTTCGGTTGTTGGGTTCTGACCCACACCCATAATGGCCTAGAAAAAAGGCTGATATCAAGGCCTGACTGGAGATACTTGATGCATAGGCCGCTGGCAATTGTTTTGCTTGAGTCACTCATGGAAATGCCACTGGGGCCGTTCGCGGCCCCTAAAAGACGATGCTTCTCTCCAAAGGGGTTCTGCTCAGCCTCAGGGAAAGGAGCAAACTTGCAAAATGTGAGTGTCGGAGAATGTATGAAAATGTATATATATATATATGGCGGTGATGGTGTGCTAATTCACCTAAGAAAGCACGCTCCCAAATTCCAAATATATTTTACAACAACGTTCTTAAAACATGGACAAGTCATGACTTATGACTGGTGTATGCCGTAGTGTGTTCAGTCTGGCTGCTCCAGGTGAAGGAGTTGCTCCCTTTCCTGAACCGCTTGGCCTACCACTTTGTGACTGCCATGCCGGACCAGGCTAGCCTTCTCAGGAAATCCGTCGTGGTGTTGTAAACGGTCGCGAGTTCCGGAGGGAAGGAGCAAAAAGAGGAGGGGTCCCTGGATCAATTGGAGCATGGCAAGCCAAATTCCGTGAGTGAAATCAGGAAATCCCGCAGTCAGTGTGGTAGGTAACTTAGAATGCTTAGGCTGACGATATAGTTTCATGCGTGTTTCGTCTATACGGCCTTTTGGGCCCCCCTGCTGGCATGGCTGGCATGCGAGGAGCTCAGACTTGACGGCTGAAGTGAAGGATGTGTGCCTTTGCACAGGTAACGCAGGTATCTCAAATATTAGCCAGTGCTCGTAGGCAGCTGTTTTGGCTTCAATGGATTTGTGAGAGGAGGCGCACTTGGCAACCCCAAAAATGGCAAGTGAATGCCAGACTCAACATATATGCACTACTGGATTTATCGGGATCTTTCCATCACCACCCTCCAAGATAGAAAAAGATCCAACACCCTTAGGCCATTGGGAAGAAGAACCGCAGCCCCTTGGCTCACCACTCACGTCTTCCTTGGTCCACAGAAGGACGCGTAGATCGGGCCGGTGCGGTCGCCGGCCGCGCCGAGGCATCCCTTCTTCCAGCGGCCAAAGCCCTGCGCACGAGCCTGACGTCCTTGGTGCGGAGACTTGGTACAGAGTCGGGTGAAAGGAGCCGAGTCAGTCGACCTTCCCAGGACCTTCCAAGGACCTTCAACCTTCCCAGAGTCAGTCTCTATTCAGGGATCACATTCTTGGTACTGAACTTGAACTTGAGATCCCAGAATGTATTGAAAAGGTCACCGTCAAAGCCTGACAAAGATCCGCTGGGAAGCGGGAAGTTCCTGACAAAATCTGGTGAGACTTCCCCTCGCCTTTGCTCTCGTTGGGCAGTGAAACACTGCCACACTGAGATCAACTTATTGTACCATCGGCACCAGCGGCGGCCCATCCTTGACAGTGATCACGCCCGGAGCTCTGGGGTGTTCGGGTCGGTAGGTGGACTGTATCCAAGATTGTTATGTTGGAATAGCATGGAAATGTATGACATATTGACAACATGTTGACAAAAGCTCCTGGGGATACCTTGTGCAATCGCACTGGTTGAGCAATTATACTGGTGCAATAGCTGCCCTTCATGACGATATGTTTTGACCTTGCATTCCGCGACCGGCGACAGATCATGAGGGAACAACATGAGCTCGAACAACATGTTGGTGTGTTCGCCAAAGTCATCTTCCTGCTTCACGGCTTAGACAGGAATCCCCAGGTCCAGGTGGTGGCCAGTTTGGGGACCAGGCCATCTGAAGCAACACGACCGTTCACGACCCCAAGGACTGGATCCTTCCGGAGTCCCGGACACTGCTGCGTCGGGCGCCCTCGGCACTGAACCTGGGCACCGCCCTGGGAGTCCCAGAGACGGAAGAGGCGGAGGACGGATGGAGAGGGCAAGCAGCAGGGATGGGGTGTTTTAGGGATGGGGTTAGGGAGGCAGCGTCTCGTTTTGGCCACATTTTGAGACATACAAGAGATCACAAGAGCGAAGCCCGTTTTTGGTATGCAGGTTTTTGGAATGGCCAGGTTGCTTGGAGTATGGTACAGTATTGAGCCTTTTTGCCCTGTGAGTATAATAAGTCATCAGTCTACCAGAAGCCCCAACCACTCGTTCGCTTGAGGAAGTTGCTAGCTGAAACGTCCCTGACGTTCTCCCAGTCCCAGGACGAGCCGGAAGCCATGGAGGTGGACGAATCCGGTGAGATGGGCGAGTTCCCAGAGGTGGGGGGATGCCTGAGCATCAAGAACGTGTGTTTTGCTGTGTTCCCTGAAAAGCAGATGAATTGAACAACCTGTTCAACTGCTTCTGTATGCGATCCGACTACGGACTTCTACCGAGATTTTGTTCTTAGAGATTTTGGAGACCGGTTCTTCCCAAGTCACATGGCGAGAAGATCCACACCTCCCACAGTTCTTCCTCTTCCACCAGGCTCGATGTGTTGGAAGCAGTCGGGGCCTCACGTTGAAATGCGCAGTGGTAGTGAGTGTAGAGTGCTTTGGGGCAACAGATGGCAACAATGCTATCACATTTGATACCTTGGAAAGTGGGTTCTCTTGATCTTAGGATGTCCAAATTGTTCGGATGCATCTGATTGCATGTGTCACTTCTTCGGATGCCATTTCTGTTCTGACATGTTCTGACCTATCACCAGATGGTCGCGAACCAAGAGCGTGACCTTGTGACCTCGCACCTGTTCCGTGCTGGGCGGCCGAAAACGGCCGCACCGGACTGTCCAGGTGCGACGTCCTCGGTGGCCTTGGCCGAGAAAGCGCTTCAGGCGGTGCTTGCCGAGATGCCGCACGTGCTGCCCTTCGAGGCACGGGGGTGACTGGCGCCCAGTTGGATGAATAAACATCCCCGGGGCCATTGGATCCATTTGGATTGCATTGATCTTTAGTCTTTACCGCGCGCGCGGTCGAGGTCAGTCATTTTGTTACAGAGCCCCAACCAAATGGTGCGAATGCACAGGAATGGCTCCTGCCTCTTTCAATCAAAATTCTACATTAAGCGGCTTTGCTCTGTCTGTGCCCAGCATGCATTGTACATTCCTTCTTGTCAACAAGTGGGAACTGCCAGAGGAGAGAATCTGTTGAACAGCTTCGGATTAGGGTGATTAGGGTGGTTTGGGGACCCCAGGCACGAACGTACTGTACATACATTGGCCAGACCGACACACGTCCTTTGAGGTCAGGAGAGCAGTATCAGTAGAGACGGCGTTTGATCTGGAACTAGCTGACACCCAACAAGGTAGACAGTTGGACCCTTGGCTATACCTTGGACACCCCATCCCATAATTATCATAGATGGGGTTGAATTAATGCACACCCTACTCTTGCCGCTATGCCAAGGGATGGACCGTTTCAATGTTCTTTGGCAATCTCACAGGTGAGTTCCAACGTGGCAACCTTGTGCAAATGGTTGATTCATCGGAATCCAACGTGGCCACCAGGATCGAGTGTCCATCCTGCACAATGCCATCCTAGCCGATCAGGACTGGCGCGGCGCGACGATCATGCGTGGCACGGCTGACTGGCGTGTTGACCAAACCCGACAGAACCAGGATGGATCTTGAAGACTGGAATGGCAAAAAACACAGTTGTAGCTGCTACGGCCCGCTACGGCCGCAAAGTTACATATTTGTTGAATTATGTCACACCTGCTGGACAGTGGCATTGTTGAACTGGTACAGCGGCTTTGTTCAAGAAGTCTACCTTTTGAACACAAGCCCCTGTCCATCAGATCGCTTGTCAAAATGTTTAAGGGAGTATGTCCTGAGATGAGAGCTTTCCCGAGGCATACAGGTGCTGACATGTGCTGACACATGTTTGACCTTTTGGATGTTGATCTGGCCATCAATTGACAATTTGCTTCGATGTGCAATTTAGTTTTGGTTTGTGTTGTTGCCTCGACATTTGTGCGTCAAGGCTAAGACTAAGAGTGACCCGCAAACAGACAGAATTCGATGATTAGTTTTGCCTGTATGCTTCTTTAGCAGTTCTATGAACAGCAGCAGCTGCTAGGATCAGCGAAGAGCCTTTCGCGGCCCATGGGGGTTGTCAGCCTGGGCCTCAGAAAGCAAGAGGAGGCTGGATCGTTGCAGGTTGGAAAGCTCCCTCACTGAAGTACATGCTCGCCCGTGCCCGACAGCTAGGACCGGACAGCATGGAGCGAACAGCCATGTCAACCCTTTGGATCGCACAAAACATTGTAGTCGAAGCGCCTTGCCCTTCCGGTGGGACAAAAGCCATGCCCTCTTGAATTACAGTAGTAAAATGTATAAAATGTAAAAGCCATCGGCCGCAGCCAACTTCTGTTTTTCGACCCATACCCAATCTGTTAAAACCAAAAACTTCTCATAATCCAGCCCATTGACAGACTGATATTGGTTCGTTGATTCAGAATCTCAACACAATCGGCCTTCTTTTGTGATCCGGGTTTAGTAGCAAACTTGTAGAGCTTCAGGAGCTGATGCTTGCTGTGCATTTGAGTCCAGGCTGTTTGCTTTCAAGGATGTGTTGGGTGTTTCTCGATTTGGGTTGTCCTGGTACTGAAGAGTTCGAAGAGTATGGGATCTATCTACTGTACGTGAATTGATCCCCATAACTGCATGACAGCGTACTCATTTGGTGTACTCAGTACTCTGCGTAAATCATTGTCGATGGTTTTTGATGAGAATCATACGCCAACTTCCGGAGTTCCAAAGGCGTCCAACGGGGTGCGTTTTTTTTTTTGGACCCTAAGTGGGATAAATGGGCCCCCCTACCCTCCAGGCACCCTTTGATCGATGTGATCCTTCTTCAGCCTGGGCACGCCGAAAAAGAAACAGAACGGCCACCACCCTGCACACGGCCGTCCTTCCCTCCTCGACCGCTCCTCCGGATCTGACACTCAGACCTTGGACAAGCGGCAGATCCGCCGGAACCATCTGGTGGACGACGGCATCGCTGCCTTCGAAGGCCAGTCGTCGGAAGTCTTCGGGTGGGTGGCCAAACTTCGTGAGGGCCGACAGTCTTCGGGGCAACAGGTTTTCTGCACACAGACCATTCAGGGAGAAATCATGGAAATAAGAGGTGTCAAGTGTACTGATATATGAGTCCTAGTATAAGTCCTTAAATGGCCCAAGAGACCAGCAAACCATAGCAACCATGTGGTGACCCTTCCAACGCCCCATGCGCCTTCCCCCTCCAATCCACCATCCGTCCGGGTGCTCAAGGCTTGGACGAAGCCGCTTTGCGGGACACCTTCCGTGTGGAGTTCGTGGCGCCTGATGGCACCCTGGAGTCCGGCGTGGACGGGGGAGGCCTCTTCAAGGAGCACGACCTCGGTTGGTTCGGAGCACGACCTCGGTCGATTCGGCTTTGGAGGCTGAGGGATGCAGAAGAAGCATTGAAAAAGCCCTTTGCAGTGACCCAAAAGCATAGATACAGTATGATACAGTAGTAAAACATCTGAGCAACAAGCCGAAAGGACTGTCCCGCTTTCTATCTAGAGTCTAGAGGTTCCAAATGCAAAAAACACCACATGCCACATCATGATGCTGCTACGATTCAGTTTTAGCCCTTGCAGGTGCCGATGACTTGCTTCACAGATTTGCTTCCTTTGATCTGATCCACCAGGAGTTCATGATCCACATTTGCCGAGAGATGTTTGATCCGGAGCCGCTCGGAGCGCGGTTCGATTCAAGGTTGGTGGCTTCAGATCCAATCCGTGGGGCGTTCAATCTGTGGGGCTCGGTGGTTTGGATAAGTTGAAATAGTTGGAAGTGCCACCACAGCCTGTGTGACAGCTGTTGGCTGCATTCGAGTTGAAAACCAACATACGTACATGGAAGTGGTTGGCGTAGGCATACACCCTCTACAATCAAGGACTCCGGTCCTCAATTTTACCATATTTGACTTACGTATTTACTGTAGCTTCCATCTTCACATGGATTTGGGACTCGTTGTGCTTCCATCTTCAGAAGGATCTTCCACATGGAACCTGTCGCACCTCGTCCGCACCCGAACGGTCGCCGGTCGCCCACGAACGGTCGAACGCGAGACACCGCGAGTCGTCCGAACGGTCGACCGAACCGGAGCATCGGATGGCCCAGGTTTGGGCTTTTCAGGGCCACCGAGTCCCACTCCTTGTACCCCAGCAGTGAGGCCTTCACTCAGCTCCTCGGCCACATATGGAAAGCTTACACTCATGTGAACTCCATAGGCTCATAGACCCAAACCAACCAAACATGTCTGGTTGTTTTGTGTTGTTTTTTGTGTCTTTTTTTTTGGGGGGGTTGTTAGTTGAATTTTCTTCACAAACTGATGGTTGTGATTGTGACGATCTTTTGTTTGTTTGTTTGTTTGTTTGTTTTGTTTTGTTTTGTGTTGTGTTGGTTGTTTTCTGTGTGTGTGTGTGTTTTGTGTTGTGTTGTGTTGTGTGGTTTGGTTTGGTTTGGTTTGGTTGGTTGGTTGGTTGGTTTGTTTGTTGGTTTGTTTGTTTGTTTGTGTTTGTTTGTTTCTTTCTTTGTTTGTTCAATGTGTGTTTATATGTTTGTGTGTATGTGCCTTTTGCGCTCATTTGCCGTGTTTGTTCCATTTGCGTTCTCTCTCTCTCGCTGGGTCGACCCAACCTAGACCAGAATTGGTTGGTTGTTTTCATCGTTGGAACATCCAGGTACAGTATATATTGTTGTCGATCTAGCATTGTGTATGACGATGACCCGGAACATATCAACATCTCATTTGGCGAAAGTTTTTCTCGAGTTGGCGAAAGTATTATGTTTGCGAAACATCTGGCGAAAGATTAAATATGTACTTTTGTATGAATGTTCATTTGCTTCCTGAACAGCTGGTGGCAGTGACTCAGAAGTTAGACGAGCTGTGGAAGTTAGATAACACTACTACTACTACTACTACTACTACTCCTACTCCTACTCCTACTACTACTACTACTACTACCACCACTACCCCTACGACGACTACTACTACCTGGATCCTTGAACGACTCTTTATAAGCAGATGTTTGGTCAAACGACCACATTAGCACAAACGACCATAACCGGATTTCACGAAATTCCACGTTTCTTGTGAAGCTCTCTTGCAGAGGCGCAGTCAAGTGGCTGAGCATTCCTTGCTGGATGTTCCCAATAGTAGTCAGGCACATGCTAACAATCACTGACCTTTTCATGGGAAATCCACCCAATTTGCAGACCAACAATACCAAAAAGACCTCTTTGAGACATCATGCCGCCCTTCCGCAAACAGCCGCTTGTTTTTGCCATTTGCTGGCACGATGGATCCTGCTGGCCAAGATCCTGAGATCGGGACGTGCGCCTTCTGGGAACTGGGGGCCGGTGGGGCCTAGCAATTGGGCTGGTGGATCATGACGTGAGACAAACCATTGTTCACTCTGCAGCCTTCTGGCCAGGGGATTTTGCCAGGATGCCAAAGTCAAAAGAACCTAGTCGCGTATTCTCGTTTAAGCCATGTTGTGAAATCTGGGAGCAAAGCCGTGCGTTGCGGAAGCGGGCCCTTCAACGCAAACTCCTGGTGAAGGACGCAAATGATTCCAATGTGGTTCATGCATCCTTGCCCAACCTCCGCATCAACTTCAGGGTGTTGAAAGCTTACACTGAAGCCATGGCAAATGAGGGTGTCATTGTGACAAAGTATATCAAATACTTGGAGGAACCAATTCAGGCTTTCTATGAAGTCATGGAAGTGGATATGAGCACTAAAGATGCAACATCTTTCGTCTATGGCACTGCTTTTGTGGTCAAGTGTATGCTCACCCTGGTCAAACGGAAATGGAGACGATGGGAAATCCCGAGAGTTGCTAGGCTTATTTTTGTTCGAAGCGTCGTTCATTGGATCCGACCTCGAGTGTTCCGTGTTGCCATGTGTGTTTACCCATATCATGTTAACCCAGCACAGCTTAAGGACAAATTAGCCCGTGAGCTGGTGCTTGATCTTGCACGTGCCTACAGCAAGGCCTATGAAGCTTCTTAGATGACATATGAGTTTTATGGAACCACTCTTATTTGGCTAACCTTTCAACATGTTCTTTTTGGCCAGGTTTAACATATGTACTGTGAGGAAGGTCGCGGCACCCCATTTCTGTTCCAAGATGAAGATGATGATGATGATGCTAAGTCTGATGACAACCATGATGCTGATGAGCCAAGTATCGACACCACTATTGACACCATCTCTGACTACAGACTCCGTGACCTCCTTTCCCGCAGCAATTCAGAGCTCGAGGCGCTTGAATCAAGCAGTTCCTTTGACGAATTGCTGTCCTTGGCCTGCGAGGACATGGGTGGGGATGATGATGTGCAAATTGTGGAGGAATCTCCCCCTGAACTACGTGACCCTGGTCCATATGAACGCGCTCAACCTCCTGACACACCACCCCAGCATGCGACCCAAAACAATGCTCCACAAAGACCCGATCCAGCTGCCATTTCAGCTTTGCTTAAGATGGTGAAAAGCAGGATGGAAGAGAAACTGGTCCTTGCTCAAATTTTTGTTTTCCCCGGGGGAGTGGGTTGGACCGCTCGTCAGCGTCGAGGCTGGTGGGACTCACATGAACACATCCGTTTGGGGGTCGTTTTGACACTTGGGGCCAACCCAAGGGTCATTTGTTTCTTTCGTGGAGCCATCCAAGGAAGAAGAAGGTGAATAAGGAGGAGGCTCCGCGCCCGGCGGCCCGTACCGGCCCCTTGGCCACAACCACAAGCATTTTTGGAGAAGCAAGCAAGTTTTGCTATGATTTGCTATGGTGAGTTTGTATAGTTGTTTGGTATATAGGGTGAGGTCCTTGGGCCAGCTCCTTCCATCTGATCTTGCCCGCAATTCAGGTTCAGCTATGGACATAGCTGAAACACAGTGGCAGCCTTCTTCAACCGGTGGACCTGCTGCTCCTGCTGCCCCCGCCGCTCCTGGGGAAGCTTTGGAGGCTGAGCTGGAAGCGAAGAAGAGAGCCTTGGTGAAGGGCGAGGAGCGCTCAGTATGGGGCTCAAGTTTGTTTTGGGAGGGTTTGCCAAAAAAAACTGCATACATGCATGCATGCATATATGCATGAACCTCTGCAACATTTTGCAATTGACATCATGATCCAATTAGCCGGCTCCAGGACCAATTTGTCAGCCGCAAGCAGCAGCTTGAGAAGCTGCAGAAGAAGAAGAAGAATGCAGATGACCATGATGATGGGGAGGGAGAGGAAGAAGAGCAAGGCGATGACGATGAGGAGCATGAGCCTGAGCCTTGTGAAGATTCAGGGCGCAAGCGAAAGCCTAAGGGCAAAGCCAAGGGCAAAGCGAAGAGCAAGGCGAAGGCCAAGGCAAAGAACAAACCAAAGAAGAAAGCAAAAGCAAAGGCCCAACCAAAGACCAATAAGAAGAACAAAGCGAGCGCCAAGCGCAAGAGCGAGGGCGATGAGGTTCATGATGATGAGGTTGAGCCGGACACGGAGGACGGGCCAAAGGCAGCTCCCAAACGGGCTCCAAAGAGCAAGAAGGGAGAAGCAAAGGAGAAGAAGGGCAAGGAGAAGGCCACCTTTGCCAAACGCTATCGGCCCACCACGCAGTCTAACATTGAGAGGTTTGACCTGACGCGGGACATCTACAATTCCTTCTTGCGGAAGTACCTCACCGGCCACACCTGGTGTGAGGAGATTGTGTTTAACATATCATGTGCGACTTGACGTCCATGAACACCCGTAAAATAGACCGATTAGTATGTAACCATGGTGAACCCACTCCATTCCTTTTCACCATTGACGGCTGCGTGCAGGACTCTTGGTGGCTGCACATCGACTACTACTGGGAAAAGGCTGCTGAGGATGCAACATGGAAGAGTGTCATCAACGAGGACTTGGCCATGAAGTTTTTGCAGCGGACGGATGTAGGCCACCCAAAACGAAACGTGTCACAAGGATGCTTGCAGGTCCAAAACAATTTAAACAATCATGCAAACCTTGTTCGTGTGGACTTGAGCTAGGTGAACAAGTCCGCATGGCCACTTCGTGCATGAAATTATCAGGGGGCACACCATTCTCCCAACCTTTGTCAGGCGAGCAGCTCAATGAGGAGGGCATTGAGTTCGTGAAGACACTTCCATGTCCACCTGCTGGCGACGACGGCTCTAGGAAGCATGGTCGTGGCCGTGGCCGATCTTAGATCTTAAGAGCCTTCTATAGGCATTTTGTCTGGTCTTGTCGCACACGAATAGGGTGTGCAATTTCCAATTGGGGTAATGGCAGGTCAGTGGAGCGGTAGACTGCAGGGTGAAAAATGATAACCGCCTAGCCTGTTCAATAAGTCGCTCATGATGCCGTTTGCAGCCCGCCTAAGACTTGCAAAGCAAACTATAGAGATCCTGCTCCGAAAAAAAGATCAATTTGGGAGTGACGCAGCCAACAAGACTTGAGGTTCCACTCTAGAACCCTGGGTTGATGCGGGCCCCCCATACTTTAATGACCGATAGCATCTGCCAGGTACGATGTCTATGCGGAACTCTTTGGCGGCAAAGGGCTTTCATTCTGGAGCCAACCCTTCAGATTTACTTCGACCCAAAAGTTTTGCTGGCATGTTTGCTGCATGCATGAATCAAGTTGGCGTGCGTGCTGACATGGGCCTCGATCGAGACACCAGGGCTCAATCAGCTAGTGTGCTTGCGCCAACCAATCCGCAAAGTAGCTTGATGCCTCCGCGCGATGCTTTTCAAGTTGGCGTTCAACTTCTAAGGGCAAAGGCTCCGAAGGCCATGGTTTTGACAAAGCAATGATGTCCATGCAGAAATCCATGGGTGCAAAAGCATCCGTTCCCTCTGGTAGGTATTGGTGCTCATCACATTGCTGATTCTATGGAATGAGAGACTGAACTTGTCTCAGGACAAGAACACCTCTATTTTGTATGAAGTGGGGGGGTTTGTGTCCTCTCAGCCTTCCTTGGTAGAGTCCCATGAAGGTTTAAACCATTTTCCACAATGGCATTCGAGAACCATGGCCACCTACACTGCAGGACTTCCACTTCATCGAGCACTATGCCGGAAAGGGTCAACTGACCGAAACCATGCGAGAGTCTCATGGCACCTCCGCCCGCCTTGATCTTCAATATCACAAGGGGAATGACATGTTGCGCTCTTCCGGTTTCGTGTCTGGGCCCCATGCTTA